AGGTTACAGGTGTTAGTGATTGAAGGAGAGAGTGTTTTACTTTATCTGGTTAGAGGTTACAGGTGTTACTTTATCTGGTTAGAGGTTACAGGTGTTACTTTATCTGGTTAGAGGTTACAGGTGTTAGTGATTGAAGGAGAGAGTGTTTTACTTTATCTGGTTAGTGGTTACAGGTGTTTGTGATTGAAAAGGGGTAGATTGTCATAATTTGATTTTTCTTTTTTAAGACTGAAGACTGTTCAAACTGTTATCACTCAATGAATGTGATGTCACCCGTGCTATTGTTACCTCACTTTATGATACTGAAGAAATTACTGCTGATAATGAAATTGTTTAGAAAAGGATAGTTGAGGTATCAAATTTAATCCTGAAGAGAGACAATTCATTTCTAACAAAACTTCCATCAACCATGTTTGGTAATGATCTACCAATCTAAAAATATTCATGAAAATATCACTGGGAGTTTTTGTTTTTAATGTGATAAATATTATAACATAATACCACAGACAAATGGACAGCTTAATGAATTTATGGAAACATGCCAACTGGTGTCCATGCTAAATGTGTTGTTATAGTATACTAAATCAGTCTTATTCCATCTATAATGATACTGCTGGAGAGAGTTAAGCAGTGCTGCTGTGTATGTGAGCACTGACACGAAGGGTACCTATGGATCACATGACGATGCTGTGTCTGTACACTACATGGTGCAGCACTTGTGAGAGGTGTATATCAGACACAAAGCATTAGGTGCTATGGTTTCTATACATTTCCTGTCAATCTATCACTTCTATTATACAGCCACACTCAACACCACATCCATTGGTTGCCAGGGCTCTCATCATCCTAATTGATACTTAATCCTACTGATTTCACTGTGTACTTATTTTTAGTCATTTCTTTCAGTGACACTGATCTGTAAACAGTAAAGCATACCCGAACAATCTACTTTTTATCAGCTACCTAATCCTGCAAGTAGAGGCTTCTATCAAATACCTATTTCCCTATAAGTATACACATTGATAAGATACCTATATTTCTAAAATAAAGCTTCACTTCATGAAAGAACATCCAACACTTATTCCTACAAGTGTAACTTTCCCTTATCCAACACTTATTCCTACAAGTGTAACTTTCCCTTATCCAACACTTATTCCTACAAGTGTAACTTTCCCTTATCCAATACTTATTCCTACAAGTGTAACTTTCCCTTATCCAACACTTATTCCTACAAGTGCAACTTTCCCTTATCCAACACTTATTCCTACAAGTGTAACTTTCCTTTATCCAACACTTATTCCTACAAGTGCAAGTTTTTCTTCATCCATCACTTATTCCTACCAATACAAGCTTATCTTCATACAACACTTATTTCTAAAAAATATTTCTGTTTTACTTCAAATTTTATTCCCTCCTCCCTCCCAGACTCAAATATAATTATAACTAAGTATGATTATAATAGTTGGTAACAAACCAGCTAGAGTAAGGAACAGATGAGAGCCTTGATATCCCTGTGGGTAGGTGTGTTAGTGGATGTGACATACAAAGCATGTCTAAGTGACTACAACACAATCAAACGCACCTGTCCATCTTCTATTTACTCTTCGTTTGACACTGTTGAAGAACTCTAGACCTACATTACAAAATAAAATATGTACATGCCTACTGCACAGGGAGGTCCTCTCTCAGATGGTGGTTTGGTCCAGGGAAAACAAATTCTCAGGCTCTGTATCTATCTTATCACTATAACTAAACAAACCTGAAGAGTTTATATTTCACTTCAGTCTTGTCAAGTCTGTGAATGCAGTGAACCTCCACTTATCTAAATATCTACGTGTGAGAAACAGACTGTGTGAAAAGGATACAAATGTGTAGTTATATATAGCTGTGCACAAAAATAAACTACAGAATTACATATGGTGATCACAAAAGGTTTATATTCATTTTTTTAAAACTGGGTACCCATGTTATAGAGAATAACGGTGTGATGACAATGAAAATTATTACCAAATCACCCCTAACTAAACAAAGCAAGCTGTGGAGTGTGTGTGTATTATTACTTTACAGAAATAAAAGCTCCATAAAAAAGACCAATTTTGGGGCAATTCAATTTTCAATGTAATTTGTTTTATAATTACAGTTGGTGTAACTCAGAAGTAACAGAGAGGAGTTGGGTGTTTGATGCTGTGAGGCTAGATACTTTAGTATAAGGGGTACATATCAAGGGGGAGGGGGGCTGGGTGTGGACTATACCTGTGGCTAGGTAGGATGCACGTGAATGCCCCAGGGAAGGGGATGGAGTTTGCTTCGCCTTAGGGTATTCTGGCCTCTGCTGACCTTCAGGGGTCATTCTTGCTACAGCCATTGCCTGGAAATCAAAGAGTATCGAGGCATTATCACCCAAGGTTAACATCAAATGCAAGATCTGTGTTTTTGATTTGAAAAAAAATATTCATGTGATTAAGAAAATACTAAACCCTGACAGATTTCAGAAATAGAACAAAAAGACAAATCAGCTTTAAAACTGTAAACAATAATTCAAAGTGAGGCTTCTATTCCTTGTACTAATGATGTTAACAAGCCTTTCGTTCCTTACCTGTGACTGTGCCAGTTTCAGTGGCTCTGCTATTTTTCTCATGAGTGGATTTTCATCACTTTCTTGTTTTCCTATACAGGCTAGTCGTAGCGAGGGACCGCGTCGACTCAGTCTGCGAGGGGGAGGGGTAGGGGGAGCATTTTCTCTCTCATAATCACTGTCCTCTTGTGGAAGACTACATGGACAGAAGAAAAACTCACCGTGTTTCAAATCATATCTGTTGATCAGAGTAACAACTTGGTTGGCTTACCTTCTGATTTGGTTTGGTTTGAGTTTTTCCATCAATAACTGGATTTTTATTGTTAATTATAACTTTATCCCATAAAATTAAAACTATATCTAATTTTTTTTGTACAATGAAGAATGTACTTCAATGAAAAACTACAGAAGAAAGTCAAAGATTTCAAAAAAATCTTTTTGCACTTAATAAGATTATCATTATTCCCTGAAATACAATCCATGAATGATCCAGTGATGATACAAAGCCTCAATATATATATATAGGTTAATAAGCCAGATGTTGATGATCTGTGATGTTAATGTAATGTTAATGCAGAATGAGTGTAGCAGTGTACAAGATTATATACCAAAACCAGGGGGAATATTATGGGATCATGCTTAAACCTTACAAGACTGAGCCTGCTGTCCCATCACACACATCACCCACAAGTAATCCTGCTGGTGTTGTAGTTCTCCTGTCATTTAATAATCATTTATTGTTCGGTACCTTAATTTTTCAAGTTTCTTGTAAGTCATATTCTGAATATATTCTATACATAAAGCATTATCTGAAATGTTAACCCTTTTGCATCTGAAGCTTAAATTCCTAGTGTTGAGTATTTTAAAGTAAACCATAATTAGAGCTTTTACTGAAAGACATTTATATTCTTTTACATTTATGTGCATATTAAGTATCCTGGTCGATCGAAGACCAATGAACCTGTAGTTACCTTGTACAATGTAAAGGTAGATATCTTATTTTGATAGTTCCATTAAAACAATACTAAAACAATCTACTATGCAGTTTAAAAGTAGATTTTTCATAGAAGTATCAAGTGATGATCCATTCTAATGATATATCTTTTTTTTTTTTAACATGTGGCTCAACTCAGCATATTTAATCTAATCTAAAGTTATCATAACATGTGGATGTTGAATGCTGTTCTAATGAGTGTACTTACTCCCTGTAAACATATATGCCCTGCCTCTTTGTGGAATCAGCAGGACCAACATGGATGCTGTTGCCCTTATGTTCACTGTACTTGACATCATTTGAGCCTTCCCACTGGGTGGGGGCAGCTTCTGAATCCTCAGAGTCATGGGTGAGCGAACTTGGTCGAGGGCTTCGGTTGGGTGAACGTTCTTTATGTTGCTTAGCCTCTTTCATTAAATCAGATGCAATGGAGGCAATAGCTATAGCACTGATAAATAAAAAAGTGATGGGTTAGGCGACTCTGACCTTATACAGACCCAAGCAGTAACAGACAGACTGTCATGTTGTAATGACACACCATGTACACGGAGGGAAACCAGTATCTGTCTATTACATATTCCTTATCAATCGACAGCACACAAGCCTGTGAGCAGTGTTTATAAATTGCCTAAAATACAAGTTGTTAAGATGAATGGGGAGGGCTACATTCCAAATCCAAGCCACCAATACCACTTCCAGGTGACATCAGCATACAAGACATGCACAGCACCAACCTTTGTGAAACACACTGGATTTCACAACTTTTTTTTCTTTATTTTTTTTCTCTTTTTTTTTTTAATTCCAGAAAACCACATGCTTTGTAAGCAGGAAGAAAAAAAATGCCTTGCGATTGCTACAATGAGATTGCTGAAATATCTTTTCATTCCAAAATACTGAGGAAGCTTCCAATAACACTATACATTTTTGCATAACTTGATTCTTTCGTATTACATTTTTCATGGATGCAGTGATATTGGTACTACAGTTGTGTATATTTGACACACCCATTTTTCCCATCTGACAAAATTGTTTGCACTGACAGCAAATACTTCCTGTTAAAGTGAAAGTAATTGTGTACCATTTAGCTATGGTTGTACCCCATCCAACTAAGGCTGTAGACAAAAAGTTGACTAAAGCATAAAAGGAAATAATAGGGAAAAAATCATTAAAGAAATGATATATTCTTTTATCAATTAGATTTAAAAATCTCAATAAATACCAATGCACTTTGCATTTGCAGAGTTATGCTTGGGCGCATATATATGTATCTATCTACAGAGTTAATCATATATATATGTATACATTATATATATATATATACAAATGGTTAAAAATTGCAAATTATCATTTTGCAAGAAACTTGTTATCATATTGTATAATAAACACAACCATTACATATTCCTGATGACTTGTGTCCCATGCTGCACATACCTGGTGTGGCTCTGTCTACGTGAGTCATTGGATACGGCAGGCGACACACGAACTGGTGCTAGGGGTGATGGCGACCGGTTAACTGCGTTGCGGTACTCCACATTCAGGTGGTTACTGGACTCGGCTGGTGTGACCTTACCATTGACAGAGTTTTGTGGTGAAATAGTGGTATGAGGGCCGTGTACAGAGTTTGCTGGTGACACTTTAGGTTGTTCTTTGTGGTTAATGAGTAGTGACTGTGTCCGTCCCGCAAATGGAAGTGTGGTCTTATGAACACCAGCCAGAGCATTCATCATGCTCCCAAACAGACTGTGATTCCTCTGTAAGTTATCAATGAATACAGTATATAAACAGTTATGTTGGCGACCTCTTGTCAGTGAGTAACTTTAAAGCTATAACTGTTTTTTTTTACAGTGTCATTAGCTACAACAGTACCAGTGTTTGTAGTATCATCAGCAGTAACAGTACCAGTGTTTATAGTATCATCAGCAGTAACAGTACCAGTGTTTATAGTATCATCAGCTATAACAGTACCAGTTTTTATAGTATCATCAGCTACAACAGTACCAGTGTCATAGTATCATCAGCTATAAGAGTAACAAGACAATTAGATGAATTCCAGTCCTCTACCAAATATAAAAATTATATGCCAGGACTGCAAGTGAACCCATACTAAGGACCAAGAGGAAAATATATTTGAAATTTGAGAAAGATCCATCCAGTACTTCCCAAGAAATAGCAATAACAAAAATTATTTATGGACGGATGGACAATGGATGTAGGGCAATTTGAAAAGCCTACCATCTGAAGATATTGGACTAAAACTGAAGATCCAGTGACTTGTAGTGTAGGAGATACCGCCTGGACAAAACTTTTCCTTTTGATGATGATCACAGGTCAAAATGTATTTTTTGATACATGACAAACTTTGTTACGAAGGTGAATCCATACCCCAAGTATGAAGTTCAAATGACAATTAGTTTGAAAGATAGGGCCCAGATGAGATAGCAAAAGGACAGTTGGTGGGTGACTACAAATCTGGCCATTAATAATGAAGGTTTTTTAAAGAGACCTACCTACATGTTGAGCCTCATCCATTTATTTACCCTTTAACCATGATGAGAAAATAGCGGACAAGAAATTGATGCAGTATGTATTAGTTAGGAAATAACCTATGTTTTGTCAATGGCTGTTCCCTGCACATCCTAATATATAGTAATACATCTGATCCTACTGGTCCAATAAAATCTACAATGACAATATGAGTGAAATGAAAGTTGGTGTTTAAGAATTATCATTTTTTACATATCTCTTTCAACTAAAAAGAAATCAAATATTGTCATTAATTTCTCATTAATTCCTGTTTCCTGGAGACCGACCTTGTCCAATGCACTCCAAAGTTTCACACATGCATCCATATACAAACCCTATGCATTGGTTCCTCCACTTCCTTTTCAGGAAATTCTTCTTCTTCAAGATTTCCAGAGATAGCACGGCGCAGTTCTGGCCCCAGGTCGTGCACTGCTCGCAAGCCAGCCTTCAATGTTAATGGTTAGTGTTAGGAAAGTCACATCTACTGTCAGGAGTTAGCAGATGTACAATTATTGTATCACCTACCGTCAGGATTGAGGGTTAGTACAAGTAAAGCTGTGGGATTAATATGTCCATGGGAGTTGCCAACAGGTACACACAGTCACCAAACCCTTTATAAATATACAATTAACATTCCTATCCAACTTACATTTATTTACCTATCTTAACAATTATATCATATACAAAAGAAGAATTCAAGTAGAATTTGATGAAAGTACAAAACCAGGAGTCTGCAGGAATCTGAAAAAAATGCAGTTTTTCCAACATAAAGGTATTTATTCAAAGATATTCTAATGTTCAGAAAATTTTTTTTTTCTTTTTTTTTCAAATCCAATCAAGCTTTAAGCTTTTAGAAATAGAAAAGAATACACATGAAAGAAATTCTTATTGAAGTTTACAGATATTTTTTTGGCATTAAATCGAGTCTGAATTACCAAAATTTGCTTTTGTCAATAACATTTGAAAACTTGTACTCGAGATACACTTGCTGTGTTTTTAAGTGACTTATAAATTTCAACTTTGAATATGCTGGATGCTTGGAGATATCCTTGTGTACTGATTAAATAAAATAACATATACCAGTAATAAAGGGAGTGCTTATATATTGGGAATGTGAAATACACATTTATATATCCAAGTCCAGCATTTTCACAGCTGAAGATGAAACATTGACAGCCCAAATAAAAGTACCAGTATCGAAAGTGGAACTGGGTACACTGCCAGAGTGAGGCTGACCTCAATGTTAAAGTGAGGATGACCCCAGGAATGGCAGAGTGAGGCTGGCATCAATGTCAAAGTGAGGATGACCCCAGCACTATCAGAGTGAGGCTAACCTCAATGTCGAAATGAGGATGACCCCAGCACCGCCAGAGTGAGGCTGAACAGAGTGATTTTTTTTAACGTCATGATTAACATTTAAGTTCCAGTAATGTCTTAAGAAATCATTAACCATGGTGTATTCTTCCTTTAACGTCACTCCTGTATCTATGACAACCACAACAAATGTTCCTTTAAACCTGGACTGGAGTTCATCTCCTGTTGGTCTGACCTTCAGTACAAGTTTGAGAAATCCGATTACAAAAAGGACACTGCCAGCCTAAAGAGACACTACACTGACAGATCTGACTAAAAGACAATGTCAATGACTGATGCATCTCATCGATAAACACACATAGACCAATACTAAATGTATATAAAGCAGTACTGTAATATATCATAATTCAAATGAAAAGAAACAAAGCAATTTAAATTGACACTGAGTATAGTATACCATAGAGATTATATATATACATATATATAGATACATTTCTGAATAGAAAATCCCAAATGTTGCAAACAAAGAACAATGAAACTTAAGTGGCTACAAAAAAGAAAGAAAGAAAGAAATAACACTTGCAAACAAATGCAAGCAAATCCTTGACAGTCATTCAGGCGCAATCTGGGGACTGGTCAGTGCTGATGTAGCCTAGATACATCTGGTTTTAAGTCTGTTCTTCTCAGGGGCAGCCAAGGACTGGCGGCATCCTCTAAATTAATGCGTCATTAATCAAAAAGCATGGATATCTCTTGGGTAGATTAAGGTTTGAAAGACCTGACTTGATATAATGCATTTCTGCCAGATGTGAGCTGGCTTCTGAAGGGAGAACTTGGGTGGAGACTTGTAAACCAGAAGGATATAGGATCAGGGATTGGAAGGGAAATGCAAAGAAACATAGCTGCTTCCAAAATCTGGGCCAAAGTCTTTGGTACTGTCCACTTCAAAATGAGGAATGTACAATGGCCAGCGCCAACACAAAAGTTACCAGAAAAGTGGTATGATGGGATCTTGTTTTACTTGGTTCAAATAATACAAAGTACCCAATGGGTACATACTTACCTGTACCAAGGTCTAAAAAGCAAAAATGAAGGCGAAAATGCAGAATCCTTCAATAACATCTATCTGTTGCCATGAGTGTGAACAATCTCACTGAACCCTGCACCTAACGCCTTTACACTTCACATCATAGTTTTTGTTTTTGTTTCTATTTCAATAATAATCAACATCTTTCTCCATTTTCTAAAATATGATTTTTGACATTATATACAGATGTAGAATTTAAAGAAGGTATCACATAAAGCCTTACAAGGTTAGTTATTGACTATAATATTATATATAAACAGAATTACGATAAAAAATACAAAGGTAAAAACTTTGAAAATTAGTACAGGTAACCTGTACACCTGGACTCACCTGGAGAGCATTAGTATGTTCTTGTCCTTTCTGTATCTTCTGCATCTGTTCTTTCCTTTTCTTGAACCGACGGAAATAATCTTGGATAAGAAATGTTGCATAGAATTTTCCTACAGTGACATCATCATCACCTGGAAAAAATACATATGAAATACAGTAAGACACCGTTATAATGATTTCACGGTGACCATAAACATCATTTTGGTATAATGGTCATTCACAACGAAGCTTTCCTGAACATTGGTTAAAACCGACAAAAAATTCCAAAAAATCAATAAGAATGTTCCATCCATAAGTGTAATTTAATTTTTTTTTAAACTAAATTTAAGTGAAAATATTTTGTTGTTTTCTTCTCTTTTTATGATTTCTGATTCTATGATAAACTGTAATGTACTATTTCATTACAAACTGCTTGCAAACTTCTGTATAAATACTTACGGCCGGCCGGTGGTACTACTTGGTCAAGTAACTTCGGTGTTGTACGTTTCCAGATCTTTTTGATAACGGCTCGTAACTCTTCATTGCATTGGTCTATATTACCCTCAGTTTGAATTTTTAGCGACGTCCGAACCAACGCAAACAATGTCGCATTGAACATAACCGTGCCGTCGCTATTTAACGGCATGTTCATGCTAACTAATCTCTGTAAAACAAAATGATACGCAACTTTTACTAAAACGATAGTTCGGTAAAAATATTTCGTAAATGTACGTGTGAACACACGTAATAACATTTCTACAGGGTTTATCTCTGAGTAAAAATGTTTTCAAGTTATACATTATTCAATGAAGAAAAGTAATTTAAAACCAGTAAATACTTTTTGTATTGATACAACTAATACAGTAATGCTTACCTTACAAGCTACTCGATGTGGACACAGTTTACCAAAACCAAGAGGTGGCGATATTTTCCTCAAAAGCGTAACGACATCTAAATGTTTTATCCTTCCTCTACAAAACAAAATGAGATGTACAGAACATAATCTCTAGTTCCCTTACTAGAGTAGATTGATTTCTTTTCCATACAACTATGTGATGATCAACTCCATTCTGTGTTATAAAGACTTATTAACCATTAAGAATATAATATGAAAACCTGCTAAATTGCACTAGTAATCTGGACTAAAAAATTGATTTACATAATTCGAAAGCATTACAGGGAATACTTACTTTGCTTCTGGATCATATTCTGACCACAGTCTTACAAATTCATCAAGATGGTGGGGCCCTAATATAGACCAATCTCGTGTTAAATAGTCAAAATTGTCCATGATGACAGCAACGAATAAATTGATGATCTGGAAATAAAGATAAATCGTATGTAAAAATAGAGAAAAGGTGTAACAATGATTATCACCACATGTGATCACTTAATATCACCTAAACTTGAGGCGCCGATTTTTCTATTTATTCAAATGATTTCTATATTATTTCATATATTCATATAATTCAGGCATTAAGTATGGTAAACCTTCAGTCAGTTTAAATATCACAATATTACATAACTCCATAAACTCTACAGAAACTACCAAATTAGTTCTTCAGTAATAAAACTGTTTCCTTTATAATTTGGTGGAATGGAATTCAGTAGAAAACTTACCAAGAAGGAACACAAGATATAAAATGAGATGAAGTAGAAGTATGCAAAGTTGTTGCCACAGGTGGCATTGGGAGCAGGTGCTGGTGTGCCATCGGGGTCACATCGGGCTGTTGGTTTGTCTATACAGGATAACATGATATTCTGCCACGCTTCACCAGTAGCAGACCTGGAAACCAAAGTTATACCAGAATTGAGTCAAATGATATAAATCAATGTTAAAATATTTCCCACTTTTGGTTCTTCGCGCTACTTAAACATGTGAGAGAACAAGTTACCTGAGATCAATAAGGAATCAGTTTTATTGTACGGTGTCTGTTTTAATTGTAGTAAGTAATTCAGCATCAAACCAGTAAACACATGAGCTTTATCTACCACATTCATGTTATCCCTCTTTCCAGCATCAGTGAAAATTAATATTTATCAACGACTCAACAAAATCATAAAATTCTGATAAATTTCCTGAATATTCCATCCTTCATACTCCAGGGGTTAAAATCACTTTTGCTCTCTGCAGAGATCGTCGCTGATCATAAACTCCAAAATTTTAAGAATGTGAAAAGTCTGTGTAATAGGTAATCAGGTATAATAATGTTTCTTCTCCATCTCCTTGTAAAAAGATCACTTACATACCTCTGTGCGCTGTTCATATTAAGAAATCTTAACATCGACGGCTTTAACTTACCTAAATAACACTAATACTCCTTGTGGAAACGTCTGGAAATTGTTGTTTCGGTGGATTTGCGTATCAGAATTTTTAGCAATCTTACCAAACATCTGTAAAAGAATTGATAAGAATTTACAAATAAAAGCCACATAAGTATCATATGGTCAGCATGTAAATAAAAGTGTATATTTTACTTATATATAAATCACCATACACACAAAACACAAAATATTCAATCAATTACCACTAGACCAATAAATTATCCATTTTGATTTACTGACACTTATACTCCTATGAAAACCAAACAATCATTGACTTTGACATGAAAGAAGGTCTGGGTTCCATGTAAATTAAAAAAGACATTTTCAGCAATATTTTAAGTTTGATCCATTTTGTCGTGCTGTGACAATCAAAGTTGTTATTCATGATGTCGTAGCAAATGTACTGGTTAGAAGTTGGACTCACCTGCATACCGATTACTGCATAGATGAAAAACAACATAACAATCAGCAGTGCTACATAGGGCAAAGCCTGAAACAGATCAACATCATATTTATTTTTGAATGTTAAAATACTTACTCAAAAACAGGCATGCAGACATTAATTCCATAAATAAAATACTAACAGTGGTGAGAGAGAACCAGCATCCTGGTTATCTTCGGCCATTGATCTGATCATGAAGGAATCGAAGATGGATACCCAGGTATTCAATACAGCCTCATCAAGGAAGGTAAAAACAAAGGACATAACAGATTGATACCTAACAGTATTTAAAAGAGTCCCAACAAGGAAGGCAAATACCAAGGACATTGAAGAGCATCAACATCAGGATTATGTGGTTTTATAACTGGTTTACATGTTTCATAAGATTATAATTGGATTTTAGTAGCGCAAGATTAAGATACAATTGCTTAACACAGGACCAAAAGAAAAATATCATTGACTTTACCTGGAAGGACTTTATAAAAGTCCAAAGTAACGTTCGAATGCCTTCTCCTCGACTGAGTAGTTTCACAAGCCTCATGACTCGGAAGAGTCGGAAGAAATTTATACTGATAATTCCTTGTCCGGGCTGTAAGAGAGAAGAGAAGCTTGTGAGTGGCCAGCAATGATGGACTGGTAATCATGATTGAGTAATCTACATCATTGTTAGTGTTATAAGTTACAAGGCAAAAGTCAAGCTCACAAACAGTATATGGAAGGAAGCAAGACACAAACATGGCTAAAATCACTTGACTATAATGGCATTCATACTAATTTTTCTATTAACATACATCACTTTTTTAGTGTTTTCATTAACAAAAAATGGATATTTTAAAAAACATTTAGCTTTGTACTTATTTTCTATGTACTGTTTTATCAAAACATTTTATGTTACCAACAGTGACAGAACATACAATTACCACTTATGTTTTTTATTTGGTATGGTATAAAAATGTCCTGTGAAAAAGAAGTATACAATTTAGGTTAAGTTTCTGTTTTCTTCCTATCATTTCATCTTTCTCTCCTTTTTTATTTTTCTATGTCAATTAAAAAGATGATAAAGTGACTTTCAGTAAATGTAGGAGGTTGATATTCACATCTGTAATAAACTCTAACAGTGTTAACATCTCAATGAAAATACATTATCTATATGTACATATATAAGTTACATTTCATTTCAGACAGTAGCTCCGAAACAATTCTGAAAAAAACCCCAGTATTTTAAAGAACCTCTGGCAAATTATAAATGAGACATTTCTGAAATGAATCTGGCATTAAATGGAAACAGATCTGAGAATTTTTTGCCACAGCACTAAAAGGTTACTGCGAATAATGCAAGAAAACATGCATTTGAGTATCATTCTTGTTGACGTTAATTACATTCATTTCATAGCAATAAGGTCATACTACATGTATAATTCAATTCCATCTTTTGAAAAAAAGACCAAAAACAAAACGATATGATTTATTGACAAGAATATATACAATTTCACATATTTAAGTACATGTAGCTAGAGACAAATAAATACACATATACCTACAACACAACTAAGAAGAAACAAAAAGACAACATATGATACGTGGTTAAAAAGAACACTTTTTTTCTCTCATATTCCACCATTTTGGATAGAGTTTGCCTACGTAAAAAAATTCTATCTTACAAAGGTTTTCACTTGTACTGAGTAATCTGCATTCAGGGGAGACAACTCTATAGCATTGTCTGCTTGTTTACATTGATCCTGTCAGCTGTCATCCGCATTGTCATGTCAACAAAGTCAAAATATTCAGCCAAGATTAAAAATTGGATGAGCTACTCCACTCAAACTTCTGAGAGATAACTCATGGCCCTGCACTCTTTCTATAAAGCCAAATGTCCACAAGACATCTGTAGAATTAAACAACTTGTTCCATTAGACAGCAGCTACAAATGCTATAAAATCTCAATGTTAACGACGAATGTTATTTATTTGCCCCTGTGAAAATTTGTAAGCCCAACAGTATGATAAGAGTGATGGTGAAAAAAGTAAACCTACTTGGTTGTGAACGATTGATCAATACAAAGGTTAAAAAAATTATTGACCTTCATGAACCCAACACCCTGCAGATTTATGTTATGGGCCATAAAAACACAATTTCTCAACAGTTATTAGGGCACTGAATGGAAGACAAAAGTGTATGATTAATAGTATGTTGTCAAACACTAATTTGGTTTCATCAAATGCTGAACACTATCCTCTATCGTCTTGTCCTCATCAAATATACTTTTTATATCTGATGCCACAATGTGTTTACCTTCGTCATCACAATAGAAAAACACAGCTAACACCTACAATCTGATATCACAGAAAATGGAGGGCCAACAATCTTTTTTTTTTGGTGTTTATATGAGAGAAAAATTATGTGTGTATGTCAGATAGTGATATTCCAACTTCGGGATAACAAAATGTGGTAAAAATGTCTCGAAAGAGCCTCCGGTTTCTCCACATTTGTGACCCTTCAAGTGGAAATCCCCATCTTAAACTTCCATGGATTTGAAAAAATCTTATAATCAATTTCAATTATGGGTAAAAGATATACAATGTCTATCAGTTTATCTCAGTGAAATATCTCCTGATTTTGATAGTATTTCTCACAAATGGAAAACTAGTAAAAATAGAAACTCATTGTATTTGAAACATGATTTTAAAACATTGTCCAACATTCCTGTGAGGCTTACAAGAAGAGATAAATAAATTTGTGAAAAAATAATGCATACCTGGTATTAGGCCTAATCAGATAAAGTACCAAGACTTAACATAGAACAGGTCCATTGATAAATGTCTGAAGTTACATCATGGAAAGGAAAAGATAACTCCTACTATGGACTAAAAAGCAAGGCTCGGAGTATGGGATGGGTGATTAAGCAGCACAGTTAGTCACTGTATCTTAAATAAAATGTATCAGTTTCTGGGCACAAGTGACATGACTGAGTGAACATTAGATCGTACAATTTCACTTGCCCAACACCAAGAGAAAACAGATTCTTTGTTAAAATTCAACTTCCCCAACACCAAGAACAAACAGATTTTTTGTTACATGTATTGCCACTCGAAATTTTTTCTGAAAAATGCTTTGGTTAGTAAGATATAAATTACTACTCCATCTGAAAGTATTGATGAAATAGCGTCCTCAATAAGAGGGCCACGGCCCTCAACAGTCCTCTGACAAGCAATGAATTATGGACAAACCACAGAATTTGCAGATGGTGGTCTGACAAATGTGATGAATTAAAATTTTTAACATTCCTTAAAAGTACCAGAAACTCATGAATGGTTAAGTTCTTTTATAAAATACCACTATGGCTGAAGTTTTGATCAGGCTGAAAAATAACAACACATCATCTCTTTCTTTTCCTTAACAAATCAAACTCTAAGTATTGTGAATGAAACCTGAGAAGTGGTTCAGAATTATAAGATGAAATATGTTGGATTTTGGACCAAAGTGAAAAGATCAGATTTGGTCAATTAAATCTCTTGATCTCTTTATGCACTTTTGTTCAGAAGTTTTGTTTAACTTCCCCTTTTGGACCCCTGCCCTTAAGTCCCTTGGGGTCATATCAACTTTATGAATCTAAGAATTATTTGCCTACCTCTACTTATGTTTCAGACAAAAGTAGAATGAAATTCATTTAAGCACTACAGAAGAGCAGCGTTTGGAGCAAAATATTGACTAACTTCCCCATTTGGAGCCCTGTCCCCAAGTTTCTAGCAGTTGAATCAATTTTCTGAATTTAAGAAATGATTCCCTATCCATAATGATATTTCAAACCATATTTGGTTTAAATCCATTAAAGCATTAAGGAACAGTAGCATTTTGAAGCAAAATGATTGTTTAACATTCCCATTTGGGGCCCCATCCCTAGGTCCCTTGGTGTCAAGTAACCTTTCTGAATACAAGAAATGATAACACACCTACAACAATCTTTCAGATCAAATTTGGTTGAAATCTACCCCGGCAGGAAGAAGGAGTAGTGTTTTGAAATATCACAGAACTTTCATAATGTACATAGTATACAATTTATCAGCCTGATATATAACTCAAAGTAACGGTCAATCATCATGCTTTATTAATCCCGAGTGGTCATATTTAACTCAACAATCAACAGAAACACTAGTGTTAGAAACTAATAAGTTATATCAACTAAAGAGACAGTTTACCAATATACCATACGGGAAAAATTCAAACCATACCGTGTTTACAGTTTCTACAATCTGTAAAATGAGATGTAGTATGTGGTCATGTGGCATCATGCAACATCCGGACAATATGCATCAATATTTTGGCAGTGGTGAAAACATGCCTGAATTTTCACAAGCCATACACGCAGCGACAGGTTTTATACAACAATTGTAAAACTCATGCAAACAACCCATAGTGTGTCGTTTTCAGAATAATCAATGCAGTGTTTCGTTCAAGTTTTCATTGAAGACAATTAATTAGTAGAAAAGTGCAAACTTCTTGTGAGGTGCTAATCACAAAATAAAGAATTCTGTAAAAAAGAATAATCACATTCTGTTTGTGTTACTTTGGTTAATCACATTTGGCCTTGGAGAAAACATAGTGATGCACTAATAATAGTGAAACCTTCATTAATTTTCCTTTCATGAAGTGTGTTCTGATAAAAATATATGTATGAGGATCGACAGATAGTGTGAAAGACAAAGAAGTACCATCAATAGTATTACAATACGAGATCCCACAGGAAAGGTGTAGTAAAGACCAGAGGAGTGCCACAGAGCTGACTTAGAAGAATGACACGAGATGGAGCTATCCATTATACAGGTACATGCAGAGAAAAAACTAACAAGTTGCTTCCTTACACTTCAGGTTTTGTGTAGGTAGAACTGTCGAGGCCTACTTGAACGAAACACAGAGGAGATCTGATTGGGTTTAGGGGTCTAGGAACTAATGACATGGTTTCTGCAACAACAGTAAGACACCATGCTTTAGGATACTAAAAGCATGCTCGACTTGTAAGCTGGCCAACAGACGGAGCCTAAGGGCATTTACATGTGTCTGTCTGTCCGCCTCTCAGTTATAGATAGCATGCTGATCGACCACAAGTTTACAAATTTGTGCTGGAAGAGTAGAGACTATAGACCAAAGTGTGACTATAAAGTAATCCACAAACCTTTGCTCTCTATTAGTAAGATGTTGAAAAATGAAGTGTAAACTGAATGTTAGTGATGTGACAAAAGGTGATAACACCTATCCAGGCATAATCAAATTTATCAAAAAAAAACTAGCTATAATTGAAAAAAGACTATCTAGCGATGACAATGTGTAACATGACATGTTGACATGGTGACTTCATTCGCCTGCTCTAAAGACACTCAATAAAAACTGGTGAACAATACAAAGTGGTATAAAAGCCTTACAAAGTCTCCATTATTCCACTGGCCGCAAATCAACATCATGCAGTGTTATTTGACTTAGGTATTGTTTTGTAAGGTAACCATATCCTATATCTCTAGTAATACAAGACTTAACCTTAAATTATTCAACATCAGTGGTAAAAGTCTAATAAATGCAGTTTTCAGCCAGCTGTATAAACAAAATAAAGTACAAGTCTGTGTAATATGGAATCAATAAAAACAATTATCAAAGATTGTCATGAATTGAGATGCATCAGGAATTATCATTACTATATTTCATGATTGCTACACTTAAAACTAGTGTTATAGGATATTGAAATAAAAATACTTGTTATTTAAGAACTAGTCAATCCTAAAAAAGCAATCTACCACTGCCCAGTAACATGAACACACAGACTCAGTGACCTATTCTGAACCAACCACCTACAAACAACACACCTTACCCAACTAAATCTTGTTACTCACACAATTGTACTCAAAAGTGAAAGTAGAAACAAAGTAATGGAAAATGTACTTACATTGACTTCTGTGTAGATGATATCTATAAAACTTCCTAAAACAATGATGAAATCAAACACGTTCCACGCATCTCCAAAATAGTTCTGAAAAAGGAAATACAAAATGTCAATAAGACAGCTTAGGCTTTGTCGCTTGTCTTGATACAAGAGATCTCTGAGAGAAAATGTTTAATCTTCATATTTTTTTTTTTCAAAGCAGGATCTTCGTTTTCCTTTCTTTTCATTCCTCTTAAATGTTCTGAAGTATATGAAATTGAAGAAGATGGTGGTCTGCCTGAAATTCTATTTTTCTGAACTATCCCCAACATCTGTAAAAGACAACTAGGATCAAAGGGAACCTACATATGAAATTTGAAAATGATCCATACTCTTCTTCTTAAGAGATAGCAATAACACAATTCTATTATCAAAATCCAGTCCCCAAATCAAAACAGCAATCTGCACATAAAATTTGTGAACAATCCATCCAGTACTTCTCAAGAAACAGAGATATCAAGAAGTATTTATGAGCAGACGATGAACTAACGGATGATGGACTACTGAGGCAGGGTAATTTTAGGTGTGCAGCCACTGTATGGTGGGCTAATCATAAAGTTGAACTTACAATGATAATGAACTCAATTCTGGAGTGGTGGTATGCTACTTGCCAGTGTCACCTTCATTAGAAATGGCACATCACATTGTTATATATAAATCAGGAAAAATACCAGTGCCACCAAACAGAAGAAAGATTTTAAAGCTGGACTCTAATGGGCACTGACCCCATCCCTCCTCGCCATAGGATCAGTCACCTGGTAAATTTGGTTTAAATATTTTTGACCCAGATGAGTTTATAAAGATGTAAATGCAATGATGGGACATGGAACAAGGCTGATACTTACTTTATACCTAAAGGTCATGATCTTGAGGATGAACTCACGACAATGATACTTACTTTAAACCTAAAGGCCATGAGTTTGAGGATGAACTCCACTGTGAAGACTCCAGTGAAGATCATGTTTAGATAGTCCAGCGCCTTGGAGTAGGAGTCTGGCTGGTCGTAATGCTGAAACAGAATAATACAATATGAGTTAAAAACAACACATTCCTACTGATAAAACTTCTGTATACCACAGTAAAATGTCACACCTTGAACAAATTTTATGTTAAAAAGTTACCTAAATGGTTAATTTAATGTATTGAAAACGATTAATTATGAGGAAATAGATTTAGAACATTCATTTCTAAACCAATCTATGCTTACCCTCATGGCTAAGATGACAGTATTGAACATGATGAGTATAAATATGGCATACTCAAATGCTTGAGAAGTGACAAACCACCATATTTTGTATTGCCACCGAGCCTTTGGTATATAGCGCCGTATAGGTTTGGCTTTTAGTGCAAATTCTATACACTTACGCTGGAAATAAATAAAAACATTTTATCTTTTAACTTAGGTTTGGCTTTCAGTACAAATTCTATATAATTACGCTGGAAATCAAAAAAATAAAAACAAAAAAAGAAGTTATCTTCTTGTTAAAACATCATCATTATTTTCTGTTTTTCCTAAAATGCATTTTTCCGTTGAATTTACAAAGTGCTGATTTGACAATTTATCTGAAATATAATGAGTTATCTCCCTTCTGTACTATCTTTACCAATGATGTTACACTATATAGCTTGGTATACAGTCATTATTAATTTACATACTCATATATATTTTAAAAGCAAAATAACTTTGAATAATTGTTAAATCTGAAATCCTGACTTACCTGGTTTTTATCTAATTCACAATTTTTATACTCTTGCTCCCCCTCATTCTGAAATGTGACGATGACAAAACCTACAAAGATGTTGACCATGAAAAATGCAATAACAATGATAAATATGAAAAAGAAAATAGCGACTCCTGGCTGCTTGTTGTATTTTGGACCCAGGCCTTCTTCATTGGAGTCGATAGCTATATACAGCAAGCTGGAAAAAAAGAAAAGATGTTTTAGTGAAAGGTCAACAACATCTTAAAGCATCACATACAGTATTTTAGTCTTTTGCAAAATACTTGTGAGCATTTCTTTCAATAATTGTGAAAATGTAATTTAAACTGATATTTAGTTGATGAATTCTGATTGAAGATTGATCTCCCTTACCCATGACATTAATGTCAAGTTATTGGCAAGACATTTCTTTTTTCAATATGTATCAACATTCAAAATTTCACAATATTTGCTACCATTTATTAATAAACAAAAGATCACAAAATTACATCGATTTGAAAGAAGGAAAAAAAAAAATGAAAATTACTTTGGCCATCCTTCAAATGTCGCCACCGTGAACAATGTCAGCATGGCGCTGGTCACATCATCAAAGTTCAGATCGTTGTTGCCCCATTCTCGTTCCTTTTTATCTGGGTTGTTTATATCTCCATCTGGGTAGTCTACGTACCAGCCCCTTTAAACCAATCAAAATCACAGTTACCATATTTTGTTAAAACATAAGAAATCTAATAAGAATAGTTTGCTACAGAAATAGATAATTTTATCTCTGCTTTTTATGTTTCTAGATTATTTGGGTTTTTTTCTTCAGAATACAATTGACTGTTACCATACTTACTTGCATTCCCCTTCTGTCAGTTTGGAGTTGTCTGTACAATGGTGGAATTTGCCCTGAAGCATAAATGTAAAAAATGATGCAGTTTTTCAACGACATTTTATCATATTTTCAAAACCATCACAGATTTGAGAAAGTATTACTTTATAATTGGATAATATCATACATAAATGTTTAATCTTTATATTATCATCTTTTTAATTAAAATCAGCATTTCTTTTTCAAACAAGATATTCTGACATTAGATGGGATGCTGCTCTTTGTGAACTGTAAGATATAGGGTGAATGTATTAACTGAAGGACAAGTACTTGATGAACTGTACATAAGACATGAATGTCTATAAGACATGAATGACCCCTGCTCCTATGCAAAATATGCAAACCAGAATTTGGTGTATCCTTCCTTTTCAATGGTGGCTCGCATGTACAGGAATTGAGTCACTTATATAAGGGAGACAGTCAACTCTACAATTTTTTGAGTCAACTATTGAAATAATGACTCATATTTACAAGGATGCTCGTCACCTCTACAATGGTGACTCACTTGTACAAGGGTAGGAGTCAATTCTACAATAATAATTTGCCTGCATAAGCATGCTTGACACCTCTACAATGGTGACTCACTTGTACAAGGGTATGAGTCACCTCTACAACAATGGGAGTCTTTTCTATTAAGTTAGTAGGTTTAAAGTACTGATGTATGGTTGGCTTACCTTGAACAACTGGACACCAATGACAGCAAACATGAAGTTGAGGAGGAAAGTCACCAACATGATGTTGTAAATGGTTTTTACAGCCACAATTACACACTGCACCACATGCTGTAGAGACAAGAAATTATACATTTTTCATACATTTTACACAAAAAGTTCCTGAGGTGAATATATACAAAAATTTAGACATTCTGTATTATGAAAACAATCTGCATTTGTCCATTCAATGAACAAGGAAAATGAAAGCCTACTTTGACTAAAATTGAAGTAATATATACCTATGAAATGTATTTGCTTTTTTTTTCTAAGAAGGAGTTTCATTACTATCTTTATCAGGATATTTACAATCTTGTACTATTTTGTATCTATTTCTTGTTCTAACTTACCTTGAGACCCTTCGCCCTGTTGATGGCCCTGAGTGGACGAAGTACCCTCAATACCCTGAGAATCTTCACCACCGAGATTGCCTGGTTGCTGCAAAGACACACCCAATGCATATACTATGACTATAACTATGATGGTTCATGTTATTTTGAAATGTCACAGTAATGAGAAATAATACATCTTTGAATTTAGACACATTCGTTCATTAATAGCTCACTACAAACCTGCACATTTTCAAAAAGAAAATCAGAAAATTAAAATGTGATCTACTAAATATTGGTACACTTGTTAATTTCTCAAAAATAAATATCCATTAGAGTGCCACTTTTACTTTTAACAGATGTATACCACATGGGAGAAAAAAAATCTAATTTTACTGATGTGTATTAGAAATGAAATTGATCTGAATACCAAGAACAATTTATATAGAACTGGAATAAACACCAGCAGAAAAGTAATTACATATGATATATATTCAGCAATGTCATGCTATATGAGTATAGTGTCGATATGTATATATGAGAGGAGGGTTGTAAGCCTGTGTACTGATGTCAACAGCCAAATGTGGTCAGAAGCATTCCTGTTTTAAGAGATAATGTAAGACTGGAGGGAGGTGATGAAATAATGAGTCGTATAATGAAATAGATGATTAAGAGCCGCATCAAGAGAGTAAAACTTTGATCCATACCACAGGTAAAACACCTGTAAAATGGCAACAGAATCTTATTAAATATGTCGTCAAATAATGCTGTTTAACAGGTCTGCGATGTTCATCTTCATTTTGTAAAGGAAAGCAGCATGATAAAACTCCCAGTGAATGGCGATCAACTGATGCATCATATCTGGCATGTCGTGATACTTTATGAATGTATATTCTACAAGCTGTTTAATTCTATAATAGGCCTAGTGTTCAGTATCAGTCTTCATTACCAGTACAAAATTATATGAGTAAATTATAAGTTACTGTTTCAAATCCATCTGCATATTTGCCACAAAATTAATTAAGAATTACATTTTCCTGTTCTGAGCTCAAACAATAATGTAAGATATCTGGTTATACAGTATACAAATAAAGATGTGCGTAAAACTATAAGTACATGTACTGTGTTTTTTTTTTATATTCACAAAGGTCTTTTATTGTCTATCACAAATGGGCATGGTAGTGGGTACATGGCTGAGGAAGTTACAGAGTTCAGGGTAGTTTACAAGTGTACATTATGTAAGGGTAGATCCTCGATATAGCACCCGTCAGAAGGAGATGACACTGGCACAAATACAGTACACGATTCTGGTATCCTTTTGGAGAATTCATACATAAAAAATGAGTTGGTAGGTATTGTTCTGTAATAGAGACAGCAGTAATATTTTACTAATGATATATTACTCCCAATCTTTGAACAGACACCACAGTATGCTTGGTTTCACATCAAACTAAAGATCATTAAAAAAAATCTGCACTTTCACATATAGATATATCAATTGGATTGAAGTTTAGGCAACTTCTCATAATTTTCACTTTCAAGTTCCTGTGGTAATAATGCCACTGTTCCTGATTTCAAGCGTCATTATTACGTATCCTGATTTTCTGCATGGGGTGATTAGGGGTACTCCAGATATGGATATACCTAGGGATGGTGTTGGAATGTATATACAATTTATAGTATATATATATACATTGTGTATGGGTAGGAGTTTTATTGTTATCATTTGTAAGCACCATGAAATAATAGTGGGAGGGACTGATAAGAGGAAAGGGGTTTCACAATATATATATATCTGTGTCCCACATAGTTATCTGCGGAATGATAACTTTTAACAGAGACTATAAGATTCTCACAAGTATTCTTTATCACAAAGGCCTTCCAACTCAATCCTAAAATGTCTTTCTTTAACACTGTTCTGTGTCGTATGAAGAGCATTTGAAACCAGACAGAAGGACATTTGACATACCATATCATTTACCTTTATGATAGTCTTCTACATGATGTAAAATTTGAGGAAGCTTCAACTTGTTGATATAAAAGTATCTTACAATCACATGACTTGCTTTAAGGTTACAGACAAACTGGCAAGTTAAAAGCTATTTCAGCAATGCAGTTTTAAAACTTACAAGAAGTAGACAGATAATTGTCAATGTGGTGTTTATCTACTTTCATTACCATCCACTCTTTATTTTTTGAAGTGTATTGTGATTCAAGCTACAACTCTGCTACTTACTCCAGCATGAAGGATACTAGTGACACTGCTACAACAATCAGATCAAGGATGTTGAAGAAACTTCTGCAGAAGGAGCCTGAATGCAGGATCAGGCCATATGTTATGATCTGTAAGAAAGATATACCAATACACATTACACAAAGACACCAGGGTCCTAAGTATGCTATAGAACACGTAAGAATGCTCTAACAAATTTGTGTAAAGTCTATCTTGTATTGTTTAATGATAAAATCAAAGATAAAATTTTAGTAGATGCTTTTAATCTGCAATGAAGATTATATTAACTTCAAAAATCTGCTTGGCTTAATTAGAACAGAACAGCATGTGTAAATGTTTAAGTGTAAAGAATATGTGATAGCTCACCTTAATGAAGATTTCAACAGTGAAGACTGAGGTGAAGAAGTAGTCAAAATAATTTAAAATCTGAAACAATGAAATGATCAACCATCAAAATAAGCTGTCACGAAATCTGAAACAATGAAATTACCAATCATCAAAATAAGCTGTCACGAAATCTGAAACAGTGAAATTACCAACCATCAAAATAAACTGTCACGAAATCTGAAACAGTGAAATTACCAACCATCAAAATAAGCTGTCACGAAATCTGAAACAGTGAAATTACCAACCATCAAAATAAGCTGTCACGAAATCTGAAACAGTGAAATTACCAACCATCAAAATAAGCTGTCACTGTCACGACGAAATCTGAAACAGTGAAATATCAAAATAAGCTGTCACGAAATCTGAAACAGTGAAATTACCAACCATCAAAATAAGCTGTCACGAAATCTGAAACAGTGAAATTACCAACCATCAAAATAAACTACATACATCATCACGATGTGAACTTGCACTGCAGTGTGAGAACTGAAATATTGCTGTGAAACATTAGTGTGAGAAAGAAAACTGATGAAAACATATTGCTCAAACCAGACTAAGAAGGGAAATGTTACATTGGTTGGTTCTTGGCTAATTCCAAATTTAAAACAGTTTTAGCCTTAAACAATTTTAGACTGAAAGTGTTCTATGATATTTGGGGCCTGACCTATATATATCACAGATAATCACTAATTATATATCTTTAGATTACACTGGGACATTGACTTACCTCGTTACGCTCAGACATAGTGTGGAGTGGGTCCTCTGCCGCCAACATAGCACTGCTAATAAGGATACAGGCCAATACCACATTACTGAAGTAGGAGTGATTGACAATCGTATGACAGATCACACGGAACCTGTTGGGACAAACATAAATACATCAACACTTGTCAACAAAAACATAAAGTTATAAAGAGTTCATGGTGTCCTACAGGTTTATAAACATGGAATCTTCAGATCAAACATAAAATGATAATGAGGTCACTGTGTCCTACAGGATTATAAACATAGAATCTTCAGATCAAACATAAAATGATAAAGAGGTCACTGTGTCCTACAGGTTTATAAACATAGAATCTTCAGATCAAACATAAAATGATAAAGAGGTCATGGTGTCCTACAGGTTTATAAACATAGAATCTTCAGATCAAACATAAAATGATAAAGAGGTCATGGTGTCCTACAGGTTTATAAACATAGAATCTTCAGATCAAACATAAAGTTATAAAGAGGTCATGGTGTCCTACACATAAACATGGAATCTTCAGATCAAACATAAAATGATAAAGAGGTCATGGTGTCCTACAGGTTTATAAACATGGAATCTTCAGATCAAACATAAAATGATAAAGAGGTCACTGTGTCCTACAAGTTCATAAACATGGAATATTCAGATCAAACATAAAATGATAAAGAGGTCACTGTGTCCTACAGGTTTATAAACATGGAATTTTCAGATCAAACATAAAATGATAAAGAGTTCATGGTGTCCTACAGGTTTATAAACATGGAATCGTCTGATCAAACATAAAATGATAAAGAGGTCACTGTGTCCTACAGGTTTATAAACATGGAATTTTCAGATCAAACATAAAATGATAAAGAGGTCATGGTGTCCTACAGGTTTATAAACATGGAATCTTCAGATCAAACATAAAATGATAAAGAGGTCACTGTGTCCTACAGGTTTATAAACATGGAATTTTCAGATCAAACATAAAATGATAAAGAGTTCATGGTGTCCTACAGGTTTATAAACATGGAATCGTCTGATCAAACATAAAATGATAAAGAGGTCACTGTGTCCTACAGGTTTATAAACATGGAATCTTCAGATCAAACATAAAATGATAAAGAGGTCACTGTGTCCTACAGGTTTATAAACATGGAATTTTCAGATCAAACATAAAATGATAAAGAGGTCATGGTGTCCTACAGGTTTATAAACATGGAATCGTCTGATCAAACATAAAATGATAAAGAGGTCACTGTGTCCTACAGGTTTATAAACATGGAATCTTCAGATCAAACATAAAATGATAAAGAGGTCACTGTGTCCTACAGGTTTATAAACATGGAATTTTCAGATCAAACATAAAATGATAAAGAGGTCATGGTGTCCTACAGGTTTATAAACATAGAATCTTCAGATCAAACATAAAGTTATAAAGAGGTCATGGTGTCCTACACATAAACATGGAATCTTCAGATCAAACATAAAATGATAAAGAGGTCATGGTGTCCTACAGGTTTATAAACATGGAATCGTCTGATCAAACATAAAATGATAAAGAGGTCACTGTGTCCTACAGGTTTATAAACATGGAATCGTCTGATCAAACATTAAATGATAAAGAGGTCATGGTGTCCTACAGGTTTATAAACATGGAATCGTCTGATCAAACATAAAATGATAAAGAGGTCACTGTGTCCTACAGGTTTATAAACATGGAATCTTCAGATCAAACATAAAATGATAAAGAGGTCACTGTGTCCTACAGGTTTATAAACATGGAATTTTCAGATCAAACATAAAATGATAAAGAGGTCACTGTGTCCTACAGGTTTATAAACATGGAACCTGTAAGTGACATCATTTAATTGTTATGCCATGTTATAACAAGATTACAGTTAGTGTTGCATGCAACACTCGTCTCCTGAGGATAATTAAATTTTCTACGTAACAAAGACCTTGGTAGCAATGAACAGATGTTCAATTTTAACAATTGAAAATTTGCTGCCACCGTCTTTGATGCGAGGATGCAGGGCCCTAAAGATGATGATGTCTATTGTAGTAAGTGACCTTGACAGCCTTCAAGTTGACCTTTTGACCCCTTACTCAATCCCACCCTATATATTTACTTATAATATTAGATTGCATCAAGTTTCAATACAATCTTTTTTCAGTAACAGTGACCTTTGCAGTTGACCTTTTGACCTGAAACTCAATCCCACTCTATATTACTTCATACATCAATCCTTTCTGAAGTAATCTTCTGGAAACTCAAATTTGATAAAAAATACCTATTTTTAGAAATAGTGACATTCAAAGTTGATCATTCAACCCCAAACTAAATTCCACTCTGTATTACCTCATAAGCTAACATTGTAAAAAGCTTCAATCAACTCAATCAATCCTTCTTGAAGTTATCATCTAGAAACCAAAATTTGATGAAAAATATCTATTTTTAGCAACAAAGACATGTAAAGCTGACCTTTCCACCCCAAACTCACTCCGTATTAACTCATAACCTAAAAGTAAATAAATTTTCATTCAAATTCATCTATCTTTTCTCAATCTAAAAGTAAATAAATTTTCATTCAAATTTATCTATCTTTTCTCAAGTCATCATCTGGAAACCAACATCCTGACAGACAGACAGACAGACTGACAAATAGACAGATGGAGACAAACACTATAGTCCCCTCTGGTTTCACTGGCAGGGGACTAATAAGTCAAAAAGTTGATAAGCAACAATGTTGCAAGTATATATGCACTAATTATCACAGCAATCCTGTGCTAACTATCAATATACACTTATATCATTTCTGGAGTAATCAGATGACAAACTGATATGTTCACTTCAGTACAAAAAAATCAAATCTATATTTAAATAAACATCTTGAAAATGATTCCGTTCAATATAAAGTGTATGTACTTGTTAGTATGATGGAATATAAACAAGGATCTCGTCTTTGGTATGGACTTCTTCTTGTCAGGGATGTGCAGCTCAGAGATGCGGCGAGGTCTAGCTGAAGCTGTCTGTGCCGATTCCTTATCTTCATCCATCTCATCGTCCTCTTCAGTCACCTCACCATCATTCTCTTCCTCATCCTCTTCTGTAAATGGACACAACACATCTACAGTGACAAAAGCAGGGGACATGCTGCAAGATACTGCTGGATAATCACAAAGCGAATTGGAATCAGTAGGGCATACAGCACAACATACATTGTAAGATTGCTTAGGCAGTAGACGTGGGACCACAGTGTACACAAATCAACCTAGTTGTATAACTGACAATGGACAGCAAGGTATAAAAACATCACCTTATTTAAGTATAACCTGATATAAATTAACACCATGTACCTAATATAACCATACATGGAAGTACAAGGCAGAATTTTGATAGATTTCATCAGTACTGAAAAGAGGTATTGAGTAAGTAACATACAGAATTTAGGAAATGTAGAAGACAATTTGCCCATGATATTCCCTGGACAGAATGACATCTGAACATAAAAGTATCATATTTTTTTGAGAGTTGGGCATGATATAAAAACTAGGAATACGAAAATCCAGTCCCATAATGTAACTGCATATAAAATTTGGCAATTGTAAATAATACACGCCTTCAGAAAAACTCTATATAAGATGTTGCAGGCTAAGGGCCTCAGCTATGTCTTCTATGTAATTGAGAGACACTATTTTGACAACCTTTCTGTATTCAATGATCCAAAGAAGTACTAACAACGAAAAAATACCAATTGTTATTGTCAGGACAGAAAGAACATGTCCCTAAGACTAAGTGGATCCTGTTACTGTACAAAGCCTCTTGTCCCTTCCTTAATTCATATCATGTTATCACCAGACATGGTGTATCTACTAAGCTTCTCAACACCCTACTTTAACTTCTCCCTAAGTTAAAGTCCACAAACTTCTCACAAAAGTGATATTGAAGTTACAGTGCCCTATACTGAGTAATAATGGCCCAACTACACATTAAGCCCTGATATATAAAAAAAGATTTTGGTATCCTTTGCCCACCGTCTATAGGAATCTGCTTGGAGTCTCTGTATTCTCCCTGTTCGTCACCCTCCTTCTTGTCGAGGTCTATCCGGACATGGTGTTCTGCTGTAGGACTGTCTTCCTTTCTGTCAACACAAAACAAAAACAGTCTAATCTGTATTTGTGTGCTCATTAATCTGTATTCTGTTAATTAGCAAAACTAATTTTCTTTTACCTGTTTCATGTTTGAACTTAATTAACTGCCTGTGATAATTCTTGTCAACTAATCTGGAAAGTTTTATGCACTTGGTTTTTTTTTAGAAGTAATTATTCTAGAAGCTAAAGAATTTCTGCAGTAAAGATCCTCCAGGGAAATCATCCCATCACTTTTTTGTGTTAACATTTGTCACTCTTATAGCAATATTTATGTGATATCAAATTTCTAGCTAAAGTTGAGAATGAAAATTTACTGTTTACACAACTGAATGAAGGCATTTAAAGATTTTACCTTGCAGAGCGACTGGACCTGTTGCTAGGATTGCGAGACAATTTCTGGGGGAAGCCATCTTCTTCTGTATCTCCAGCACCATCTTCATTCATCCCGACTCCCTCATCCTCCTCAGTCTGCTGTCAACAAACAGCCACACAGGTCTTCAGACTAATACACATTTCCATACATCAGCAGCACATTAATAACCAACAAAAATAATCTCTTTAAAATTGACAATTATTTTCACATTCAAACAGTAACTCATCACCCATAAACAGTAAACTTCACATAATGTTTCCACAGAATTCCCGGATGATTTATTTCAGCAACTTCAATTTATGAATAGCATACCTTTTCTTTCTCTCCACCCTCTGGTGTCCTACTCTTTGACCTAATAGAGCGTAATCGCTGTTTCTCTTCTTCCATTTCAGCCTCGATTTCAGTCAAGCTTTGGGCATCGGCTAAGTTATCCACAGCGATAGCCAAGAAGACATTCAATAAGATATCTGGCTAAGTTAAGGACACAACACGACAATGGTATCCACTCCAAGCCAACTTGACAAGGGAGACAACACAATATATATATATGGATATAAGATAAATCCTTATACACCATTTAAATCTTAAAACGAAAAAAAAAAATTCTTTCTGTTTGCGTTTCCATCCTGCTACAGATGTAAATAAAACATCTCATGAAAATCAGTTTAAGGGAAGTATGTTACAAGGTTTTAACACATATTTCTATAGAAGTATTAAATATCAGGAAAGGATACAGTTACCACAGATGAATAAGAACACAAAGTACAGGCACACAATCACACCAAATTGATTGACACCACCATAGGATCGAATCCCGTCATACATCACCACGTTCCAGTCCTCACCCGTCAGAATCTGACCAATTAAAATGTACAAATGTAAGAATATATAATGTCAATAGATTAAAATACATTTACCAGATCTACAAATCTATAAGATAAATTACATGTACTCTTCACTTCATTCAGAAAGGAAAAACAGTTCCCAAATTGGGCCTTTACAAAAATGGTACAAAAACATGTGTTCTAATATCACCAAGTAATGTTTGATAGGTGAGGAAATGGTTGAATGGATTGCCAAATTACAGGGAAAATCAGTATTTTACATGATTTGAGCTAACATCATATGATCAAATTGAAAGTTTTATTTCAGGAAAACACTGCAAGGGCTTATCTACAGTATATACAAAATTGAGTCCTATTCACCTAAAACCAAAAATCCTACAAAATAGGGACTTCAAAGAATTTACTTGAGGGCCTAGACCCCTTGACTCACTACTTAAACATATTTTCTTTCTTGTTCCCTAAGAATGCTTCTGATGAACTGTAGTAATTATAGTGTAAAAAACCGCTGGAGAGCAGATGATGAGCAATGCAACACCATGCTCTAAGCTTATCTTGCCCTCTGGGCCTGGAGAGCTAATTAAAACTCTTGAAAATACAAATTAGCATTTATATAGGTATGAAGTATCTGATGCTAGCTGATTCTACATTATGTACATCTAGCTGTATGTAACTGCCATCAGTCTATCAATAATGGTTATTTCTGTGGTGGAAATCATACCTGGAATACAGTGAGTAGGGACTGCCAAAATGTGTCAAAGTTGCTGCGAGGTTTCTCCTCATCAAAGTTGAATCTCCCACCGAACAGCTGCATCCCAAGTAAGGCAAATATGACAATGAAGAGGAAGAGCAGTAACAACAAACTGGCAATAGACCTCATACTGTTCAACAGGGAAGCCACAAGGTTACGTAGCGACGACCAGTATCTGTGGAAGAAAAAGGTATTTTTAAGGATCCTTGGCAAATACGAGAAAATGTTATCGTCATTCATGAATGTCCTCCTCCTCCTCCTTCTATGTAAACAGGAATTATTTAACACTTTTAAATTGGTCAGATTTAAACTTCAACGGTATTTTGTTTGGCCATTAAGACAATAATTTAATACAACATTTTTACAAATCATTATTATGTATTATAAAACATTTACAACAAGAGCATACTATGACTGAGTGGATGTGTGATAAGACACCTATTTAAAACAGATAAAAGAACATCACATAGATACCTACCTGGTTGCCTTGAACACACGGAGAAGTCTGGCACACCTCAGCACACTGACGCCCAGTGGTGGCATGACATCAGTGACCATGAGGATCACCTCCACTATACTACACACCACCACAAAACAGTCAAAGCGGTTAAACAAAGACACAAAGTACCCCTGGAAGCCTAGACTGTACATCTTTAACAACATCTCAAAGAAAAACAAAACCACAAAAAACAAATTGGCCACAACTGAAAAAAGAAAGAAAAGTCTGTTAGAGTTTAATCAACAAACTTACACATTTGTAAATATAACAATGCTTATTGAGAATATAAGAAACAATCTTTCAATTCTAAGAACATTTGGTGACCTTTTACAATCCTGTCTAACAGTTTATCAGTAATTATTTGAAATCAATGATCAGTAAAGGGGACTGTTGCGTTTTAATAACTATGCTTTTTGATAACTATAGTACCTTGGAAATCGTCTAACCACTGCGGTTGTCTATAATGCTCGGATGTTAGAACACAGGTATTTAGGAACACCACCACTATCACAAGCCAATAAAAAGCATTGGATTTTACTAGCTTTCTACACAATCTTCTGCATCGCCGATTCCATTTACGTAAATGTTGGCTGAAAAAAAAATTACTTTATTATTTCACAAGCCACGTAAAGTCATTATTAAAAACAGAAAAGCAATTTTGAAACTATTGAAAAATATGTGTGAATATCCATTAAGCAAAAATTAATCTCTTGCACATATTTTAGCTCGAAAATAGAAATGAAACAGACAAATTATCTATAATTACTGATCCTGAACGAAAAAATAATCACAAAAACAACAAGAGACCACAAGATCGCTTCTGTAGTAACATCCGTAATAAATTAGAAAAAATATTAATCATAAATACCTAATAAAAGAAAAAATATCTAGGACACTGGTCTGATGTAAGAAAAAAGTTTTGTAGAGATTGGTTGAATATTTTTCATGTTGTAGCCCTGAAACGCTTGTAAATCTTGTAGTTCTGACTATTTATTTTATGGAAACAAAGAAATAGCAAAAATAGCACAGAACAAGCTGTGACATTGTTTTTGCGAAAGGAACAATGCTCACCTTTACTAGGGATACAGAGAGGTTAGGAATGTACAATACAACAACACAGATGATCACAGATATAATTTATGTATTGGCTCACAAGAATTCACATGAAAAACTATAAAAACATAACTAGCATTATCACATAAAATTTATAACTTAAAAAAAAAATGTATTTTTTTCAGATATTGGAATTTTCATGACTTGGCAGTATTGCTCTTAATGACTTGCCAATGAATATTCATCAAATGTTGAACATGTTTCTAATGACTTGCGAATAAATTATTCAAATGTTGATTATGTTGCTAAATTGTTAAAATGTTAAGTATTTAATGACTTGTCAATACAGTTCAAATGTTAGCTAATTTACAGACTTGTCAGTACTGCTCAAATGCTGGCTAATTTTACAGACATGTCCATATCCCTCAAATGTTTTCGATAGTATACAAACTTGTGCGTATTGCTCAGTGTTGGCTTATTTCACAGACTTTGTCAAATTATGTGATTTTGATTACTGAGACACATGACTATAAACTGCTAATACTGCTGACCTTTTGTTCTGCCACCAAGACTGTACTATTTCACCATTTTCTACATCTTCTGTTTTCACTGATGCTGTATCACTATGGTTTTCTGAAAACAATGACAAAATAAAATTACACCATTGAAATCTAATTTCATAAACCTTGTGATATGAAAATAATTTCTATATCAAATCACTAAAGTGTGCAATCCATATTACCACAAAATATCAATAAACATATATTATTCCGATTGACATAAAAGTTATAATCTTATGGTGATTGCCAATTTTACAGTCATTGTCATTGAATAATGTGATAAAATTGCCCCACTTTTTGGCTCACTACTTTTGTCATTACATACATATTACACACAATATCAACTATATTATGTTTAGCAAATGATTACATTAATTATGGTATCACACCTTCTGAATATTCACACAGAATTGGGGAGGAAGATGAGTTCAATATTGGTACAATGGCATGCTAGAGTCCCTTATATGCCCCCTCCTTCCACAACCCCCTTCCCCCCTAAGCAAATCATATAAAAACAGGACTGGCAGTAGGGCCATCAGTACACACATGCTCACAAACTTCACAAGATAGGCCTTAAATTGGAAGACATTTATTTAATATGGGTGAAGGAAGTGCTCTAATAGAGAATAAAAAATCACAGAAGCTGGTTCTGACAGAGAAGGCTGGGACAAGGGCTAAAATAACTACAGAAAGATGTAAAACCCTTAGTCAACTGTACTAAATACTAATTTACATTAACAATTCAGGATAGGGTTCACAACCTCTCTAAATTTTATACAAAGACATCCCTTCTTCAACATTACCCTCCCCCCAAAATTTCCTTGAAATGTATGGAACAAAAGTCAAGGTCATGCAGGTCAAGGTCACACCAGCTGTTTGGTACAGCTGCACTCAACACTTACAGTGTCAGAGGTGCCAATGTTACTGACCTTCCATCCTACCTAGTACAGCAACCTCACATGGCTTAAAGCACCATATAGTACTGGTAGCCATCTTATTGGTTGTGTTCACACTGAAGCTCATTATTGTTTCAAATTAACAGACATTCAATTCAGACTTAACATTTACTTCTTGCCCGTTTTGAAAAATGAAAAAAGTTTCTTTCTGATCAATTTTGTGTTGAATTTCCGAGATAAAGCAGAACTTAATTGAATCGAAAAATACCAGGAAATGTTTACAGAATTATATTTTACTAATTGCCTACATTGAGTTATCACATTTACAGCTACTTAACACTGATTATGACACTTATCCTTTTACTACAATACTATTGCTTTACTTTACATTTTATGGAATTCTAAGGAAAGAAAAATTATTATCACAACTTCAGTATTGAGTTTAGCTCGAACTAAATTTCATTTGCATTAATCTCAAAGAATTTGGACCCCGAATCGTAAGATTATGGTATTAGCAGTAACTATGGTATGTATGTGAGATGTGATGGATCAACATATGTCTTATTCTGGACACTTTTGTGTAAGTCCTGCCTATTACTAGGATCATTTCATTAACTCCTGGCTAGATACCAAAACTCCCATTTACCAACAGGTGCTCATCATCAATATACTTATGCGTGTCAATAAACTGATACACATGATTATCGTAAGTCACATATACACACAAAAAAGGGCAACAAAATTAACATAAAAATACCAAAGCAACAGACAATAGGTCTGATTATTATTGTATTAATAACTGTCAGTTTACATATCAGATCAACAAAAACATAAAATGTCAATTAACAAGATTTGTTTTTAAGTTCATAGAAATCAATAGTAAATAAAACTTGACTCTTTCATCTTTATGATATTAATTTGATCAATATTGGTGCTATTGACTAAATTTGATACAAAATTTTTAAGCAGTGTGATGTAAAATGATTTTTTTTCCTTGTATGGTAGATCCGACTTGTACTAAGGTAGAGACAGTGGGCGTGGCACCTCTGATACTCACTATGACGTGGAGTAGCACCTTCCTCTCTCTCCTCCTCATTCTCGGGGTCGATATCCTCTGCCTGCGTGATCCAGTCCATATAACCACGCAAATCTTCATCCATCTGCTGCTTCTCTCGCAGTTTCTTAAAATCACCCCTAGATTTGGCTTTTTCTCTTTCCTTAGAAAATTCACTGGCAAACAAAAAACATCAAAATTATTAAGTCATTGCCTTAAAAACACACAAAGACCAGAAAACAAGGACATCTATAGTTTATGTTCTACATCTTTTTTGTGTTCTTTGTTAATGAAATATAAGAAAAGCCAGGGATAAGATAGGTTATGCCGATCTTTGAATCATAAATGGTTCAATCTTAGTTCCTAAATACATTGGATTCCAAAGTTTTAATAATTATACAACTTCTGTGGACACGAGGTTGATGAAAACTGAGACACTAAAACTCTGATGGAGACATTGGCTAAAGTGACTAGACGTTGGCTAGTGACTAGGCATTGGCTAGAGTGACTAGACTAGACATTGGCTAGAGTGACTAGACGTTGGCTAGAGTGACTAGACATTGGCTAGAGTGACTAGACGTTGGCTAGTGACTAGGCATTGGCTAGAGTGACTAGACTAGACATTGGCTAGAGTGACTAGACATTGGCTAGAGTGACTAGACATTGGCTAGAGTAACTAGACATTGGCTAGAGTGACTAGTAATTGGCTAAAGTGACTAGACATTGGCTAGAGTGACTAGACATTGGCTAGAGTAACTAGACATTGGCTAGAGTGACTAGTAATTGGCTAAAGTGACTAGACATTGGCTAGAGTGACTAGACATTGGCTAGAGTAACTAGACATTGGCTAGAGTGACTAGTAATTGGCTAAAGTGACTAGACATTGGCTAGAGTGACTCGACGTTGGCTAGAGTGACTGGACGTTGGCTAGAGTGACTAGACAATGGCTAGAGTGACTGGACGTTGGCTAGAGTGACTAGACATTGGCTAGAGTGACTAGACATTTTACATTTTACTTACATAATGATGATGTGTGACCAGTATGAGATTGGGATATTTAGTTATTTTACTTGACTTACACAAAATGTGTAAGGTCTTAATCTTTAAATACCTACTACATGTAAAACATCAGATATATCGGGAGTCCTTTGACCTTTATATGCTTTACTAGATGTAAAACATCTAACGTATAGGGTGACCTTTGACCCCCCTAATGTAAAACATTGCATGTGTATAGTCTACTTTGGCATTTGCAGTTTTCCACTTGATGTACTGGATCTATCGAAAAGTGGTACATAGAATCCCACAAGACTAATGAAATTAATATAAATCAGCTGACAGAGAAATCTGGGGTTCAAAAATTTGTTTAACTTAATCAAAATCCATACTCGCTATGTTCATGGGAAGGATGATTGCAAATAACAAGAGAGGCAAACTTATATCCCTGGAACACTGTCATCTGGTGTTAGGGTAGTCTACATCATGTACTTGTGATAATGGCAAGCAATATTTTTCCAGGATCATGTAACTGTTGTCATAAGTTGTGGTTGACCTTTGAGGTGGAGCCAGAATCCTAGAATCTGTTAGTGTTGACACATCACAAACCTATGGTAATCTTGCACCACTTAATTATTGATCAACACCGAAAGACTATTAAGGAGCAGCCTAGTCAATATTGACAGAAGTGTACCATTGTCTGGGGAAAGCAATAGGCACACGAGGTATTTCACATCCTGTTTACTTAGTCAATTGACTTTTAACATATGACAAACCATTAGGTCTAGAGCAAAGTTTTACTCCTGTCTTCAAATAGAAACCAGATTTATCATGTTTGTCTTTTTTTTTTCTTGTCCTTCCGAATCTTGACCATAAAGCTTCCTTTATGATTTCAGTATAACTTTCGCAAAGATTATTTACAAAAAGCAGCTCATTGTTGTGAAATAAATTAGAAATAGGATCTAACTCACTTCAGATACATTGCATCTATAAACTGGTCTTACACTTCAAAGAATGTGCAAGTCAGACTTTAAGGAAACATTGGAAAATGTGGCCTGTGCATTAGTGAAGGTCAAAATACAAAGAAAAGATAATATATCTGTTGTGTATTTTTGTTTGTTTTGTTTTCGGGGTTTTTTTTCTTTTTAACCAAGATTTCACATATTGTGGGTGCTTTGAATATAGATTAAGATGGAAGGAATTTCATATAAGATGCCAACAAAAACTATTTGATATACAAGTCTTTGGGATCTAATAACATTGTATAACAAAGTAGACAATTCAGTAGATGTCCAATCACTTACCCACTGAGTACACCTAAGACTAAGTTAAGTACAAAAAAAGATCCTATGATGATTAATGTGATGAAATATGTCCATGGCCATGCGCTGCCCACTGCATCGTTGATCTGTAAAACAAACATCAATGTTATTCAAAATACTATAGTTTGCCTGCATATAGCTATATTCTGATCGGTATACCTTACCATTTAGCCTATCACGACATTCTCATGTATATAGCAATACTTAAAGATGAACAAAGGATCTAGAATATCTATCTAATTGTAGGCGTATGTGGTCATATCTATCCTGTTATGAACCCAGGGGCCAACATAAACATATATTAGAGTGTTAGATGAGGAAAAGGCAAAAGTAGGTTGGAAAAACTAATCATAATTGTATTTTTTGGCAATGAGATATAACTAATCCTAGCCCATGAAGCATTCTTTGATGCTTTTATATAGGCTAAAATTTATTTCATAAATCATGTTATAGCTTGTTTGATATGTAGAACATTCTTTCTGTACCTTTTGATGTTGATCATAATTATATTTTAAATGATTCTGACTATTTTGTCTATTTGTATATTTCTAGAAAGCCTAAAATACAGCATGGAATATTGATAATGTAGTCTGGGTTTGTCCTTTATAGTAAGAGGACATGCTAATTATCATCAATATTTTAATACACTGGTTGAGTATACCTGGTGAAAGGGTTGTGCTAGTCTTGGGAGTACAACAGAACTTGCACTTGTAGCAGGTAATCATTGTAGACAAGTCTGTACAAAGTCCCCACGTACAGGGTTAAACTCCACCCCAGAGACTGACAGGGGAGTGACAGTCACATTAAACCTATTGTCTGAATCCTAATTAACATAACTTGGTGTTAAAAACTACGTTACTGCTGCAGAATACACATATAAATTAACTATTACTGACAGCTTACTCATGTCAATTAACTATTACTGACTTTTTTCATTTTGTAATTGACAATTTTTTCATATACAGGTGAGTTCACTGTGCCAAAAGAAGTCCTTCAGAACAATTTAAATGACTGACAGGGATCTGTCATTATTTTGTGAATTTTCAATCCTTTATTCCCTTGAGTATACAAGTTTATTCCAGTAATCCAGATACTTTGCACTATCTCTATAAGGACGAAACGTTTAACCTTATAAGGATGAAATGCTTAACCATATAAGGATGAAACGCTTAACCTTATAAGGATGAAACATTTAACCTTATAAGGACGAAATGTTTAACTTTATAAGGATGAAACGTTTAACCTTATAAGGATGAAACGTTTAACCTTATAAGGATGAAACGTTTAACCTTATAAGGACGAAACGTTTAACGGTATAAGGATGAAACGTTTAACCTATCTTTGTTTACTAATCATTTTGACAACTGCATTCATATTACCAAAAGTAAAATAAAATTTAAAAAAAAAAACAGTTACAATTTCAGTTTTGAGATTTATATTAAAAATGATAAACCAGTTCAAGTAATTGAAACTTCTTGTTATTCCAAACATGTATTTGCTATTCAAAGATATTAATACATTTAATTCTTGTTAAGTGGGTGAGTATCAATTGTTTAAACAAACATGATACCCATTTATCCCAGTATACTACTGGTCCCAGATGGTCAAGGGTCTCTAGATTTTATAGGTGTTTAAATCATTTTAAAACATTTGACTCTCGAGACCTTGAAAGAGGGTCAAAGTAATCATTTCAACAAATTTGGTAGTCCTTCATTCGAGTATGACACTGGGTCAATATCAGTACCCTGCACTTTACAGGACAAACGACTGATGTCACACACTGTAAGCTTAGATGTAATCATAATATTCCAATCTGTTATTGCCAATTATTTCTTTGGAGATAAAAACTAAAAATGCCAAAAGCTAGTTCCCTTTAATATATTCAGAAGTACAGTATTTAACCAAATACAATGTAGTGCAGCTGATGTAATACCTAGATTTGGTCCACATATCAGAAAAATTAGCAGCACTGATGTGTTTTATACTTACATCATACAATACATCAGTCCATCCCTCTAATGTTATGCACTGGAATACAGTTAACATGGCCAGACCAAAGTTATCAAAGTTTGTTATACCATCATTTGGCCCCGCCCAGTACTTGCGACACTCCTGGGTGGCATTTTCACACTGGAACCCCTTACCATCCTCAGAACACGGATGAGGGGTTTCAAATGCTATGTTACCTGCAAACAGAAATTAGAAATAGTTACTGTAACCACTATAATGGAAAAGTAATCCCTCCACTGTAAAATGTAGAGAAAGACCAACATTGTAATGTAGGTTTTAATACAGGTTAATATCAAGTAGAAACAGATTTTAATTAATATCAATATTTCAACAAAATCAAATTTTCCTTGGATACCATTGTAAACTATGTGGTCACTATAGAAAGGTTTACATAGATTGTGAAATGGGAGTGATCACTACTGATAGGTGATAAAATGGAATGGATGTGGTCACTAGGTACAGGTTTACTGCATGGCCAAATGGGAATGATCACTGTAGGCAGGTGTACTGTTAATGGTATAGAAGGTCATCGTAGACAGATCTGCTGTATATAAGAATACTATCTGCAGACTGCAATTAATTTTTTTCTTTGAGATTGTGTTTTCTATGAGGCAGTGTTACATGTTGCGGAGTTAATGTTATGCAATACAGACATTGTACAGTACCTTCAATTCTACATTGAGACCATGATGATACTAGACACAGGAAAACACACAGATAAACAACATTGCTGGGAATCAGGACCCCTCTAACACAACAAATGTTTTTACCTTGACTGAACAAGAATCTCTCACTACCTGCAATAATGCTACTTATCTGCTGAGAATTAAAACTGCAGCGATCCAATTATTATACCAGCCTGGGGTGGGAAATTCCCAGCTATTACTGGCTGGCAACGGCTGTGTTGGGTTTTGCACAATTACAACACGTGGTTAACCTGCCAGTCTAACATTAATGTTGGTAGACAGAGGACAGACAATTTTTCTCCAATGTCCAACATTCAGTGGTTGTGTAAACCAAGTCTGCAATGACATGTACAACCCTATGACAAGAGAGAGTTTCTCTATATGTCCACGATTTAGCAATGACATGTACAACCCTTTGACAAGAGACAGTTTCTCTATATGTCAACCATGTAGCAATGACATGTACAACCCTATGACAAGTGAGAGTTTCTCTATATGTCCACGACTTAGCAATGACATGTACAATCCTTTGACAAGTGACAGTTTCTTTAAATGTCCACCATTTAGCAATGACAAGTACAACCCTATGACAAGAGACAGTTTCTCTAAATGTCCACGATTCCGTAATGACATGTACAACCCTATGACAGGAGACAGTTTCTCTATATGTCCACATTTCAGTAATAACATGTACATTCCTATAACAGGAGACAGTTTCTTTAAATGTCCACCATGTAGCAATGACACATTACAACCCTATAAAAGGAGACAGTTTCTCTAAATGTCCATGATTCAGTGATGACATGTACAACCCTATAACAGGAGACAGTTTCTCTAAATGTCCACGATTCAGCGATGCTAACCCAGGCAGTGATGACTCAGCACAATTCTGCTCTGACTGCTGAATTTGTGTGCAGCAGCTAAATCTGATTTCCATGACCTAATTCCAGCATTTTCTGCTACAATGTATGATACTTTTTCAATGCCATTTCCACATGTTGCTGTGTATTGCTTGTGGGATTTTTTTTCAGCTATCAGACTCATATACAACGGCAATATTGAAAAAGATAGCTTATATCGTGTGGTAAAACCGTTAGAGTTTACTGAATCAATCTGAACTCCAACAATCTATTTTGACTGATATCGTAAAATCAAATTGTGGCTATGTTAGTTCTTCAGCCAGTTTTTAATAAATTACTGTAATCAGTCAGAAATTCCCAAACTCAAAAAGCAAACACTTGAATCTATTAGAACAAAGAGTACTAACTCTGTTTACAGTATCCAATTTAAAAATGACTATCTCTGATCAGAATATGTAATGTCCAGCAAGACACGATTACAAATCAAAGGACACCAACTCCGCTGATGGTGCCTGAGATCTGGTTAAATAATGCCATTCCTTTATGCCAAGATGTACATGGCATATACAACAGACAAATGGGCATAGAGACTGACTAACTGACATAATGCAAGCCTTTGGCCGTTTCCAGTATTAAAGGTAGAGGATTTTAATTGTCTACCAATGTCTGGGGAACTTTGTTTACTGTTATACTTTCTGTCTGTACCTTATAAACTTGTTTGTATACATCCTACTTAGTTGAAGCTGATATCAGAAATTACAAAGATATAATTGGAGGCGGTCAGAATGAATTGTAGTCTACTTTGGCACAGTGGGTATACCCATTTATTATCATACCAGAAATGAAGGTTTGATTCGTGTGTCAGGGCACTCAACAGACCCTGTTTTTGCAGTTCCAATGCGTGTAGTGAATCAATTCCATAATAACTCAACAATGTCTTTGCCAAAAAGTTAACATAACAGCAACAGTTGTATTTGGTCCTGTTTTTAACATGTTATCTCTACCAAAATGAGCTGTGATGTAGGATATCATGCTTATAAAGATGTGGGCCCATATTCAATATGGTCATGCATGTCTTACTATCACGATTTACTATTCTTATCCTACATGATGGTGTTACAGGGAATGCCAAGCCTTCTGCCCTGAAGTGATTGATCTGTTATCTGTAGAAAGACAAATGTAAAATTGTAAAGGGCATCCAGATACACCAACTATCTCCCACCACTTGCGATGGCATGAGCCATCAGGGAGCAACTGATTACATTACATTGACATTAATTATGCATGTGCTTCCCTTGTGTTGATACAAGGTTTCAGTTACTGATAAAAAAAAACGTACACACAGAACAACATAATCTCGTTGTCATAACGGAGTCCACTGAATCGCAAGCTACACTTTAATTCTAAATGACAACCCTTATTTGTTTGGAATAGAAGGCTTGCAGAAAAAAAAATGTGTGCAAGTTACACAGTGATCTGGCGAACTTTGGCAGTCAGCAACAAGGCCGAGTGTGCCTATAAATCAGTACCTTCAATGCCAATACATGTAACAGTCTTTATTATACAACACCAGTGTGAAAGTGATAGAAGTGTAAGCATTGGTATTGATTACCAAAGAGAAATCATCAAGATATCCATTTTCTCTCAAGCTTTTAAATGCCAGGAGTTAAGACTGAATCAGTGTAGACCAACGTATATCACAACTGAGTTAGGTAAGATTGGAAGGAGGAGATTACAAACACCAACAATTTTTGATTAAACAGATAACCATCCATAGCCATACCTATAAACCCCAGACTTGTCTACACATCAGAAGTATCTACATTCACGGCTGTATACCATTAGAACTGTCTACATTCATGGCTGTATACCATCAGAACTGTCTACATTCATGGCTGTATACCATCAGAACTGTCTACATTCATGGCTGTATACCATCAGAACTGTCTACATTCATGGCTGTATACCATCAGAAGTATCTACATTCATGGCTGTATACCATTAGAAGTATCTACATTCATGACTGTATACCATTAGAAGTGTCTACATTCATGGCTGTATACCATTAGAAGTGTCTACATTCATGGCTGTATACCATTAGAAGTGTCTACATTCATGGCTGTATACCATCAGAAGTGTCTACATTCATGGCTGTATACCATCAGAAGTATCAACATTTATGACTGTGTACCATCAGAAGTATCTACATTCATGACTGTTTACCATCAGAAGTGTCTACATTCGTGGCTACATACCATCAGAAGTGTCTACATTCATGGCTGTATACCATCAGAAGTGTCTTCATTCACATACACACAGATTTCAGGTTAGGTTATCAAGACTGATTATGACTGCAATGACTTTCAAGAGAGTATTTGACCATAGTTGACTTGACCATCAAGAGTGTGTATAACCATGACTATATTATCTTGTATGTGGGTATGTGACCATTACCTTCAAGCACCATGAAGAGCAAACGGTTTTATATTCAAACACAGTAATAACAACAATTGATGTTATGGATAAATGAGTCCCTATCAGGTATCAACCATTTTGTCCATGCTTAATCATATGATATGAATGTAGATCTCTGTAACTACAGCAGAACATCTAAAGAAACATGTGGCAGCATCTGTCGCAATACAATGCAGAAATTTGTATGAAATCTAATTAATAAGAATACAAACCAATTTACACAACAGGTTGCTGTAGCGGGACTGTAAGCTGTCACTTAACTTTACATTGATCAAACAGGAGGAAGACATCTCTATACATATTATGTAGAGGTCTGAAACATGTAGGACTCAATATGCTGTCGTAGGTACTGTATCAAAAAAAGCACAAGATAACTTACCTGTGGGTCTACCAAAACTAGTAAGAGGTAACAAGGAATTTACTGACATATGCCTCTATCAAGGCTGATAGAAAGCAACTTACCTGTGTCTCTATCAAAACAGGTAGAATGCAACGTCCCTGAGAAGAGCTCCAAGCCTATGATAGCATATATGATGATAACAAATATGACAAGTAGGGCGATATGTAGCAAAGGCACCATTGCACGCAGGATGGCATTTAGAACAACTTGTAAACCTGTAATACAAAATTGCATATTTGTGAGAGCTAGTTCATGGAGATAGACCTATGTCCCATCTGAAGACAATGAGATATCAGCAAGAGCTATCACAAATTTGGTTTCATAAAATCTCGGTGAATTTTACACAACCAAGTTTGTATAGAAAATAAAAATGAACAAATCACTGAAAATCTACATTTACATTTTTTGAATACATATTACTTATATGAAACAAAAAAGGAGCTTATTTGAAATATTTATATGTTGTAGTACATAGTGAACAAGCAAGCTTGATTACAATGAATAATCAGTGTGTGATATATACATACAAAAGCATGGCTTGTGATGATAAATGCTTTAAAACATCTTTCTACTATCAAGGATTTTATTTTGGCAATTGTAAAAAATATGAGTTTACTTTGAACTGTATTACATGCACTTTATTTTTTAATGTGAATTATTTCATCAGTGCACTGCTCTTTTTTAAATCTTAGTTGCAGTAATAAAAAGTATCTATTGCTTAAGTAGAAGCATGCGGTAAAAAGAAATAGAAAACATCAGTGTGAAATTTATTTCACAAAATCTGAACTACTGATGAAAATGCATCATCTTAAGCAACAAAAATATTGAACTAGGTAATGCTGAATTTACAATATTAATTCCGCAATCAAGATTTCTCTGCGATGTTTTTTTCTTTTTTCTGTTTTGCAGCAATATTCATTCATTTTTTAAGAGAAAAAATCCTGTTAATTTGAAACATGCCTGAACTATTATGGAGAAAGTCCTTCATGAAAACTTCTAAGTAGTATGCCTAATACCTCCTTGCTAAAAAATTCTCAGTCTGAAACCTACTTAACCGAGAAAGAAGTTTTCCTTGCTAGGACTTAAAGTTCTTTACTGTTTACCCATGTGTGTAACCCTCCATTCTAAGACCAACAAACTACTAAAGCTAACATAAGAAAATACTCTACTCTTAAGCCAACAGCCTAATGTAACTTTACTGTGCGGAAAATACCCCTTTATTCTCAGACCAACAGCCTTTTTGGCTTTAGTGAAGTGCTTATGCTAAGATAAGATAATTCTCTACTCTGAGGCCATCAGTTTGATAAATTTTCTTCGAGCTAAAAAAAAACCCTCTATTTCGTAGAAAACAAACTAATATCCTCTAACCACCAAAGAAACCCCCCGTTCTTCAGCCACAGAACCACTAAAATTATCATACAAAAAATTACGGACTCGCAGATGAAGGATGCTTCAATGATTTGCTATCTAAAACCAGAACTTTTCTCTCTTTTAACTTACACGAATACGATCCAGAATCATTTTGCTTGTTCAACATGAATCAAAAGCAGTTGGCTTTACTGGTGTACATAAGCATTACCATAAAGCTTATAATAACATATGCAAATACAAGGCAGTGTATCTGTCAATCAAGGTTGCCATTCCAATTTTCTGTTTTCAGAAAATGCTTCCCAATTAATACTGTAACAGGATTTTTTTTTTTTTTTTTTACCAATAAATGTTTTTTTTTTTTTTTTTGTTTCCAAAGATCATTACCAAACCTTATGGCCATCCTCCAAGGCAGATTTCACTGATGTCTTGTTTCAAAATCAAATTTCACACATCATCCAATAACACAATACTACAAAAATAAATTGTTCACAACACATCAATTACTAACACACAACACATTTCTTTATCAAAATTATGACAAAATCATTGGACTTAATTTGGTGAGTTTTATGTAAAAAAAAAAAAAGAGTATCTTTTCAATTAAATCGAGAATTCTGTTAATCGAATAAATACACATACAAATACATTAGACATGCAATATTCATTGAAAAAAGATTGTTGTTTTTTTTTTCTCAATAAATGTGCATATTAGATTTTAATATAACAAATTTTGTCACCACCACATATAGAGAAACAACATAGTTACAACAGTGTTACAACTATACAGGCTTATAAAGGTTACCCTTTAACATTAGAACGGGAATTAATAGCAAACTCTCATTCCATGCAAGGTACATAAGCATTTACATTGTGCACATCAACACAATATCAATGTATAACAGGAAGAGTGACATATAAAACCAAACATATCATTGCTACTCAAATCAAGAATGCTTCTGATTAAGGCATTGGTAGATATTAGCATGAACAACCCTATATCTGTTCTCTAGTTTACACATACGAACTTGATAACCTGATAAAAATCGGATGATCCTAAATGGTTTGGCGATCAAATCTATCCTTGCTTGTAACCATCAATTATTTCCCTATCACATTAAGGAGCTCTGAGTCTCATTGCTGCCAAGACCATCAAGATCTCTCGCATTTTCACAATGGACACATCTGCCATTATACAAGGGCTGTCTGTATGGCTTTTCAAAATTCACCTGAATATCTCCAATAAAAAATCACTGACATGTTATGTGCCAAAACATGAAATTTTTATTTAACATGATAAGAAACATACAATATAAAAAAACAATTTTACAAGACATTTCTTTTATTCATCATATAATAAATGCAAATTGGAAAAATAGAAATAGATTTTAGTCAAAAAAATTCAAAAAAGCTAATAAATATCAATAAATATGTATGTTGTGTTCCTCTATGTGTTAAGATGGGACAACGGCTGAGGTGGGTTTATACCCGAGAAATATTCCTTGAGCAGAAGAGACCATAATGAAACTCAGCAAAGGTCAGACGAGAAATCTTTACATACTGGAAATGGCAAAACAATGAACGTATTTGAAAAAAAACAGAAATCCTATCTTGGGACACATTTTTGATAATGCAAAAAGAACCATTGAGAACAAAGTGTTATTTAGCAAAAAAAAAGGGGGATACGTCTCTAGAATCCACTGATTCTGGAAATTAGGAAACAACAGATCCAGTCAGGACTGAAACGAACATGTTCTGTAGATAACTATAGATATGTTTGGGGATAAGAACTGATGAGTACATGAAGAGACTATCAATGGGAAGACATCAACATGTTCACAGCCAGAAGTTAACAGATAAAGACCTCTCTAAGTGTAGCTATAGTGAATGTTAAAACAGATGGTTACGATACGGCAGGAAGGCTCAGCACCCATAGGTCAATGATGCATGAAACATCCCTACTGTTCCCAGGATCCAAACTACATTGCTAGCCATACAAATTGAAGAAAATAAGAACTCCGTCAATGAAATGGTTCATTCATACAAGTCTCAACTCAGTTGATCAGTCCAAAAATGTAACGTTAAGTCTAAATGACAAAAACGTAATGTCATAATACCTACAAGAAGTTCTTATCAATATCTGTAAACTAAAAAACTTTTAGGGATTCAGTTGAATATGATTAAAGGTCTTCTATGACCTTGACCTTTGAACTGAATGAACCAACATCAAACATGTACCTTCTGTCTGATTATGTACAAAAGTTGGTATGTAGAGATGTATTGTACTGATTGTCAGTCTCTAACAAAAGATCTTATTACCTGTGTTTGTTTATAAGGTCTTTAATGTCATTTATGTCAGTTTGTAGTCCAAAGCTCATGTTGAAGCAGTGCCAAAGGAACTTGTCACAAAGCTACATTACAGTCACATCACTGGGAACACTCTCAAGGAAAATGTGCTAGATGCAGAGGGGTAAAACAAAAAAAAGCGGGTATTGAAGCGAACTAGTAGGGACTGTCTTGTGATTACTGCTTCTGTTGAAACCAGCCATTGTAAACAGAAAAGGAAAATACCTTTATGCAGTCATCTGCAGGTTTCATCATTTTGAAACAGGTGTATGAGTGTATATGTATATTAACCTATCTTTGGACAATGGTCTGTGGTTCCTTGTATAAGTGTATGTCCATCATCAGGTAAATGTGTGCTAAATGATGGCTCCATGGACTGCTGTAATGTTTGAATATGTTGACTTATAGAAAAGTTCATAGTTTGATGTGAACGTGTGTGCTTAACACCACAGTAAGCTAAGGGGCCGACACATAACCTCTCAAAGTCAGGGAATAAGATTGGGACACTGACTATCAAAGACAGGAAATAAGATTGGGACACTGACTATCGAAGTCAGGAAAAAGGATTAGGACACTGACTATCAAAGTCAGAAAATAAGCTAAGGACATTGACTATCAAAACCAAATGATAAGCTCAGGACATCAATTATTAAAGTCAGGGAATAAGCATAGGACATTGATTATCAAAGTCATGAAATAAGCTTAGTACACTGATGATAGAAGTCAGGGAATAAGCTTTGAACATTTGACTAACAAAGTCAGGGAATAAGCTTAGGATGTTGATCATCTAAGTCATTGAATAAGCTTAAGACATTAACTATCGAAGTCAGGAAATATGCTTAGGATGTTGACTATCGAAGTCAGGAAATATGCTTAGGATGTTGACTATCAAAGTCAGGAAATATGCTTAGGATGTTGACTATCAAAGTCAGGAAATAAGCTTAGGATGTTGACTATCAAAGTCAGGAAATAAGCTTAGGATGTTGACTATCAAAGTCAGGAAATAAGCTTAGGATGTTGACTATCAAAGTCAGGAAATAAGCTTAGGATGTTGACTATCAAAGTCAGGAAATAAGCTTAGGATGTTGACTATCAAAGTCAGGAAATAAGCTTAGGATGTTGACTATCAAAGTCAGGAAATAAGCTTAGGATGTTGACTATCAAAGTCAGGAAATAAGCTTAGGATGTTGACTATCAAAGTCTTGGAATATGCTTTGGACATTGACTATCAAAGCTAGGAAATAAGTCTATGACATTGATCTTTGAAGTCTGGGAATAAGCTTAAGACAATGATTGTCCAAGTCAGGGAATAAGCTTAGGACAATGATAACCAAAGCTAGGGAATAAGCCTTAAACATTGATTATCGAAGTCAGGGAATAAGCTTAGGACAATGATAACCAAAACTAGGGAATAAGCCTTAAACATTGATTATCATAGTCTGGGAATAAGCTTAGGGCATTGACTATATATCTGTCTGCATATCTACTGCAGTAGATTTAGATGGACTTATATACAGGTAAAGACTTGACAGTATGTTAAAGGACAGTTCCCTACTATTATATTTGTGTTGAAGTTGATTCCAGAACCCAATGTGTATAGGTGCAGGAAAAGACTGGTGCGACAAAGCTGGACAAAGCAGGGGAGAAAACTGTACAAAAAATACTTGAAAAGGTCATCATTTGCAAAGTAGTTTAACAGTGAATCTCTTCATACCACACAAAACTGATCTAGAAAACACAAGTCAGAATTACAGATCACTCTCAGTTAAAGTCAATCTATTCATCAGCCAGAATAAGAAGTTTGAGGATAGGTTCAATGGGCACTCGTCACCATTTACTAGAACAGGGATGTAACAATAGGAGATATGCTTGTATAGATTCAAATAATCATTTTATACCAATGTTTATAAGTAAATAAATTAGTACAAATAATATCATATAGAATAAATATAAGCCCTAAATTCTAAAAAAAAATAATAACAATTCAGTTGAAATGAAAATAAAATTTCTAATTTCTATCAAATTTAAATATTAATAAAAAAATAATGAAATGATTTCATTATAATATAAAAGGAATTTATTGTATCTGATAAATTGTGATCAATTGATAAGTAATATAAATATCAAAATGTGTCACATTACTACGAAATCTAATTAGGCTTCGGCATAAATACCAAGTTTTGAATTTAGCTTTCAAGATAACCCTATTTTCATTTCGTTCTTGTTCTTCCAATTGTTTTGTTTTATTGCCACAAAAACTAAAATATTCCAGATAAAGGAGATATGAAGACTTGTGCAAATGGTGTGACAGCCAACAGAGGCATGCAATTACTGATAGTATATAGGGGAAATGAGAGAGTGTGGTGTACCACACCATCACCTGTCAAGTGAGATGATACCTGGTCTGTCCTTAAATGATCTTCACAATACACTAAGATCTTATTTATCATTCAAGTCCTTATAAAGTGAGGTATAATAAACACTAGCCTTTGGTATGCTACTAAAATCTTATGCAAAATTATTAAGTAAATTTTCAATTAAATAGAAAGTTCAGAATTCCGATATTGTCAACTTAAAAACCCTTTTAAGAAAATACATTAAATAAATTTGGTTTGAATGAATGAAGAGTATCAATAACCTATACTTGAATGATGCTGCCAAAACAATCTTTTCAGTTGCTACAATCTATGCACTTTATTGGAAAGATTCCATATTCAACAGAACTATAGGAATATGATGGTCAAATGAAGGAGTCTGGTAAATATTGAACACACTTGGAACAAAGGATATAAAGTAAAAAGACAAAGAAACCATCAAAAACATCACGCTACCTAAAAATCAGTCTAAAATGATAGGTAAAGCAAACACTGTGCTCAGAAATAAGGTACAAAAATAATAGAAAAATAAATAAATAAATGTCCACGTTTTTGAATAACCATTTTCCATGGTGTCCAGCTTGTGCTATTTCTGTCTTTATGGAGACGCTTATTACAATATTTGGAGGTGTGCACCCCTCCCCGTGGCTCGGTCCTCTAGGGAAGAGGAGACCTACACCACACCAGATGACATAGACAATTGAACACCAGTAAGAAAGTTGTCATTCCACATTAGTGAGAGCCACAGACGACAGTGATGTAAAGACTGTGGGGTTAGTACTTACTAGGTACACCGGATACAAGCCGTAATGGTCGCAAAACCCTGAATGCACGCAGGGCTTTCACATCAAAATTATTGATGTTCATTGTCGACAGAACAGTACTTATCACACTGCAAACAATAAAAATGCAAAATTCTTTATCAAAACCCCTTTGTATGCATCTTCCACCCAAAATGTCCATGCAAATATCAAACCAACTGGTTAACTTCTCCAATGTATGCTCATTAAACAAAATCATGGCACCACATTTCCCCCCATTTTTCTCATTAATTTTTATTTTATAACAGACATTAAGTAATGTGTGGTCTACTTCATCCTTCAGAAGACCAGACCTGGTTGTTGAATGAGCACACATCAGACACAGCATTCGTGTAGTGTGATGGGGAGGCAGAAGGGTGATGAAGCTTGCCAGAAGGTAGGAAGGGCTAGGGGTGTTGAAACCACCCATGTAAGACCTACCCCCAACTCGGACATTCCTGCTTCTTCCACCCCCTCTTCCTCACACATCCAATTTTCATGGTTTCTTTGTTTTTTTTTTTTTTGTGTTGGCATGCTGTAAATTAATCTAATGACCCCCTTTTTATTTCAATAGGCTAAAATCTACAAAAACCCTCTCATTAAAACATATAGGAATAAACCTTCAAAGCATATACTGATTCAAACAATGTTTTTGTACATGTGATATTTGCTTTGAAAGTTTTCTTCCCCCAACAGGTTACAGAAACACAAGGCTGCATCATAACACAAGAATATACCTAAATAAAATACAAAAAACTTCTCTGCAACTTTTGTACTCACAACATATTGATATACAAGTGCAAAAAATAACTAGACATATCCATTACAACAACCATTTAAACCAGGCACAAGTTACGACTTCAACTCAGCATGTCAGTTGATGTCTTGCTGTACAGTGCATGGATTTGACTGCACACCAATCCATAGCCAGTTGAAACAGTTCTTGCAGAGATTGCAATGGTTATTGGAACGGAAAGGTCAGTGGACCCATGAACGGATTCTAGTGTTTATGACACAGCCATTTATTTGAGTCCCAAGATGCTGGATGCTGGTTAGATAGACAAAGCACACCAAGTCCGGTTAGGTCACTAATGCATTCCCACTTCACAGTACTTACTAGGGGCCCTCGACACCAATCGCAAAGGTCGCAAGACCCTAAAAGCTCGGAGGGCTTTGACATCGAACCCATGAATGTTTAACCAACTGAGAATTGTACTAATAATACTGAAAATGAAACACATATATTAAATGACAATAATAGTTGGTATATATGTATATAGAAATCATAACATAATACATTTATAAATCAGAATAATACATAGTTGTAGCACATGGAAAGTCATAAGGTAAAACAAGGCCATTTAATTCAACCTTTACTGGAAGGAAAAACAGAAAACATGGAAAAGCAGGAGGATAAACAGACAATGGCAGAAACACACAAGAAGTAAACATACTGGTATCATTTTATTTACACGTAGTAGCATAACATACTCTTATATGACAACAACTACATACAGCATGACACTCCCATGTGTGCACATTTTAAAACAACTTAAAATTTATTTTAATATTTAAATTGCAATTCAAATTATCAGTCAATATTTTTGTAATTAAATTTTTCCATGAGATAGAAATATTAATAAAATTCCACAAGATATGCTGTGATAAAACAGTTAAACATGAGTTGAATAAGATAAATATGTGACTGGTGGTTGACGATAACAACATATGATGTACACCATAATCAATGTGACCTGAGAGAAGAGGTGGTAAACGACTGCGACAAATCAGGTCAAGTGTTGTGCTGCCCTATCTCTTTGTCAGCAAAGTACTAATGAAGGTAGGACCAACCCATATTGATTTTATCATGCTTTTCTTCTTGTCTGCAAGCAACACTTTCAGTGGCAAAGCCTAATGTAATTAATACAAATTCTCTACATTTGTCTCTTATTATACCGGGAGATTGTAGGAAGAATGTTTGGAAGTGAAGTTTTTAAGGGAGAACAACATGATGGAACACACGTTGTGTGTATAATTAAGATAGTGCTGCTAGGACACATCTACAAGTGTTCACATAATATCACACCATCAACTGTTGACAAAATCAAAGGAAGATTACTTTTTTGGGAGAAAATCTTACATCTTTACTTATCAAGAAGTTGGAAACCTTAAAATAACAAGCAGTTTTCAAATTTGTTTTTGTTAAAAAGGAAATCAAGATGCTTTATAAATAAACTTACCACTGAAATATTGTACCTACATAATCATTGTCTATTAGAGAACATACAACTAACCACTGCTTTCACAAAGTACAAAACCCTGTTCTTCTATCAAGTGCAAAACTCATCTAGGACAAATAAAGAATCAAACTTATACAAATTTTACAAGAGGCACCTTTGGCATGTAACGCTCACCTAGATATTTCAGCATTCACATCAAACACTTTTATTCACAACTATATTGTTAAAGATAAACCCAAAAGATGAGAAATTTGAATGCTTCATATCAAAGGTCATATTTCTTTAGATACATCATTTCTACAATTTCCTTCAGATCAAGTATGATCAAAATACCTTTATCCAAACTGAAAAAAGGAGGATTTGAAAGAAAACTGCCCCGCCCTCAAAGATCATTCTGACCAAATTTGGTCAAAATCAGCTGTATCATTCACGACTAAAACTGATATCCAGGGAAAAAATGGCAGACACCAGTTGCTTTGCAATGGCATAAGCTCAAGATCTTGATCAGAATAACATGAGAGACAAAACAAAAACACAACAAGTTTAGGACAACTGGTAACAAAAAAAGGCCTCATCATGCAACTAACCCTATAATTCTACTAGAGGAAAGTTTAGTCTATCCACAAACCTGCTTCAAAGCCATACAAATCCACAAGGCAAAATTATTCTTTAACAGAACAAATAGAAACCCACAAACTAATCCAACCTACTCCAAAAAACTCTTAAGGCATTAATTAATGTAACCTACCAATGAATTCAAATCTCCTCTGAAGACATTATAACCTCTTTGGCAAAAACATACCTTACCTATGGCAAAGATATGCAAACTCATAAGGCACAGACTTACTCTACACAAACATGCTCCAAATACACTAAAACCCATTTGGCAAAAACTTAAGTAACCAAAACAGCCAAGTAAATGCAATCTTATCAGGCATAAACTTAAAGGAAGTGTAAACTTACTCAAACCACAAAGAGTTATTTAACTATGAAACAGATGTTTGTTTCCATTTGCTGCAGGGACCAGACAATAAAGCACAACAAATTCCCAAGACATTGCTAGCAATCAACCAGATCATGAAAAATAATCCTACATTTTGTCTCATCACCTAGAAACATCAAACAGAACCTGTAAAACCATGAAACTCTGACTACCTATGCCTTTTTAGCCTCAGAGTCCAAACACCAGGGACTATGACCTATCAGTCATTAATCTAAACGGCAGAAATTTCTTCAGAGATAAGACATCAGGGAGGCTATGTACTTCATCTACAAGCTTAAACCAGACATCTGATATACTGTAGCAATCATTTCTGTTTTACCTTAGCCCAGACAGATAAATGAAAAAAATCATAATTCTACAACAGTTGGGGTCTAACGTGAGAAAGCCCAGCATCCTGACGATAAAGCAGAGTTGATATGAATCAACTTTGTTTACTACAAATCGATCCATGACGCTTCTGCCTAGATTGTTGTCTCAAGCTCAGAGGCTGCAGGAAATTAACACTGTATATCACATAGAGCAAATTAAAATTCATTCATAAAATTCAGAAACCAGTAACTATATCAAATTCGTTGAATTTGAAATGAAATATCCTTCCCAATATTCAGATTACAATATTAGAACGACAACTGAACACCAGTGGCATACACAACAACTTTGGAGAGGCAACCAACATAATCAAAACCAGACACCTTGACCCTAATCACAGCCACATGGCATGTCCAAGGTCAGTACATCGAGAAGTGACATATTTACCTTAGCAATGGTGCTGATCCCTACTACTGTATAAAATAGCAGAACTTTCTTGCCAGTTTGTAGATAAAAGAGTATAAATATTTACTAAATGAAACTATGTATCTCTAATGCAGTCTTTGTATTTCATAATGGTTGATTTCATGAAATACATAAACAGCACAAATGGATGCCGTGATGTGTTCAATTCAATACTAATTAATTAGACTTGCATAATTTCACATTTGTCTGGAATGCAGTGAACCCTGGAATGATTTTCAGAATCAATGCTGCTATTGATGCCCAGAATGGTAAACTATAACACTGACATGTTCGTCATTATCATATCTAGGATATTTTGACAAATATGCAAAAGTGCCTGTCCTACATTCCAATCATGTATTAGTACTGTTCCTCTGTCGATGCATGCTTAATTTTTTACAGTGTGTTTTGTGGTATCTAGGCAGAACTACAGAGGAAAGTCTGGTATTGTACTCCTATCTTCCTAGCCACACTGTTTGGTACAGTGTACTTTGTATTCAATAAATGTAGGCTGACATACAGTTTGTGTTCTAGACTATTAGTCCTTATAACATTACTTCAACTTTTTTATCATTTCACTTCAATCTATCATTTATCTGTCTATTTGATTGCTTTTTTTTCTCTGATTTTTTCATTCCTTCCTTCTTTCTAACCCTTATCTATTTCTGTCATTTAGACTTCCTTTTGTCTGCACCATTTTTGAGGTCTTTCACCAGGGCTGCTGATAACAAAGCTTCGAAAGATATTGTTAATAGAAAAATAATTATCATATTTTTAAAAATTTTGAACTCAAACTTATCATTAAACCCTTGTCCTGAACAGAATTAACGTTTCGACCAATCTACATTTGCCATCCAAACAGTAAAGAGATACAAGGGTAATATTAGTATAAATCTAGTATGATCTCCCAAGGTGTGTGCTGGCACAAAGATACAAGGGTAATATTAGTATAAATCTAGTATGATCTCCCAAGGTGTGTGCTGGCACAAAGATACAAGGGTAATATTAGTATAAATCTAGTATGATCTCCCAAGGTGTGTGCTGGCACAAAGATACAAGGGTAATATTAGTATAAATCTAGTATGATCTCCCAAGGTGTGTGCTGGCACAAAGATACAAGGGTAATATTAGTATACATCTAGTATGATCTCCCAAGGTGCGTGCTGGCACATAGATACAAGGGTAATATTAGTATACACCTAGTATGATCTCCCAAGGTGTGTGCTGGCACATAGATACAAGGGTAATACTGGGATACCTCCAGTATGATCTCCCACGGTGTGTGCTGGCACATAGATACAAGGGTAATACTGGGATACCTTGAGTATGATCTCCCAAGGTGTGTGCTGGCATATAGATACAAGGGTAATATTAATATACATCTAGTATGATCTCCCAAGGTGTGTGCTGGCACATAGATACAAGGGTAATATTAGTATACATCTAGTATGATCTCCCACGGTGTGTGCTTGCACATAGATACAAGGATAATACTGGGATACCTCCAGTTTGATCTCCTAAGGTGTGTGCTTGCACATAGATACAAGGGTAATACTGGGATACCTTGAGTATGATCTCCCAAGGTGTGTGCTTGCACATAGATACAAGGGTAATACTGGGATACCTTGAGTATGATATCCCAAGGCGTGGACTGGTACAGATACTAATGGGTAGTTATCTGTTTGGATTTATCAAGACTTACTGGTATACCTACAATATACTCCCACTCATTGGGCATCTCACACAGGGGTGCAACATTTAGGTATGTACACTGCTGGGGATTGTTCTTGCTCACCCCAATTATGTCTAACGACCAGCTCTGTCTGTAGGGTAGTATCTTGTCCTACACCTTGGGTTAACCATACAACTTACAGTATCCTGTGCAACATTGCAGCAGTAAAAGTCACCATCCACATGTTGAACATTAGATGCTCCGAACAAAACATGGTTGTGTGACTATTACAGTAACTTTTTACTATCTAAATGCCTAATTGCAGAAAACACTGTCAATTAAATCAATGCCATGAAATATCGCTGATTAACATTACATATGATATTAAAGATTTATTGCTAATGATATAAATCCAAAAGACCAATGAAAATTTGTTAAGTCAACATATAAACTTCATGAGGTCCAGATTGAATTTCTCCTCTAGAATCTGTCCATTTTTTGTATAAATTTGATTTTCACTTAAACAATTTTTATAATTTATAGAGAGAAGTAGTGTTGCTATAAATCTCGACTGAATATCATGAAATGATCTTTCATCCATAGAGATTGTTTTGTAACAGTTAACTAACTAGGCTTTAAGAACTCTATTCCAGAACAATTATTTTAGAGGCTCACTTCCTACTTCTACCTTTGCTAAATTCATCATTCAGGCACAAATTAAAAAAACATGTGTTACTTGACCTCTAACCACTGGCAGTATAACTTTAAAGTTATTCAATAAGATAACTCAATTATTATTTACGAGGGATATGCTCAATTGAATTCCAGACAAGCCTTAGTTAATGTTATTTCAGTTGTGCAGTCTGCTACACAAATCAATGCTGCCTTATATAACGCTTCTCTTAATCGTGACAAAGTGTGATGAATACTGAAGAGAAATCTGTTGATAATTTTTGTCACAGATGACATACCTGTGCATTCACAACACATCTAACTTATTGAGTTACCCTCATCATCTCCCACAGACAACACTGATGTGTTTGACCTAGATTGGATATGCATTTCCAATAATCATTTGCACATTTTTCGTTAACAAACTGATGTCATGGCGTTTTCTAACATAAAGTTTACTTGTAATGCTGAGGTATTGAAGTTGTGCAATTTTTGTAGATGTGGGGTCCCATTAAACTCTTACTCGCTCCCCTACCTCTACAAATTTTATATCTTTCTTTATAATACAATACACAGGAACAACCTATCCATCATGTCAGTTCAAATACAGTCCTAATTGAAGCAGTAGTAAAACCCATATGGTAATTATAAAACAAAGCTGTTTTGACAAGACATATGACCATGGCCTATCTGTTATCATTATCTAAAAACAGTTATGTAATTTCACTCTAATCCAGATGCTAGGTATGTACAGGTTGATGTACAGTAGTCAAAGATCTGTACAGAGGTTCAACCAGACATAGACAGATGAGGTGTCCTCAATCTGCCAAACAGCATCTCATTTGCTCTCCATGGATATTGTGATTGTACCTATATGTATGGTATCATTTTCTAACTAGATTAAAATTAAACTGTTTTTCTTAAATAATGGATTTTAGAAATGATAGAAGAGGCCCGTGGGCCTGAATCTGAGTTCTACAATGAATGTTGCTGTGACATGCCATAGAAATCACCGTGTTACATCACTTACTATGATAACCTGAACTGTACACATTAAGCACATAATGCAAATGACTGACATTTTAATCAATTTCATCACTTTTTGCTCCATTCATCATGCCCCTGGGGGTCAGCCAGGATCAATAATTATGCATACTAATGAACTATCATTCAAAACTTATAATTCCAACCAAATTTTTAAAATGTTTTTTAAATGAAGCTATACAAATTAAGCTAAACATATTATTTTTTCATAAAAAATAAACTTTACTCTCTCCTAAACTCTGAGACCTTGTCAAGAAATTCACAATACAGACATCAAGATCCTTCCATCGAAAAGTATTCTTTTATTTTACCATATATAAGTCTTGAGAAGAAGATTTTTTGAATTACTCATCAGGCCCCCGGGAGTCTGCCAAAGTCAATATGAACATACTATCTAACTTTCATCCCATACCAATAATTTTAACCAAGTTTTCACTATACCCAATGGAAATTGAACAAATAATGCTAAATAATGTAGTCTTCCTTCTATAAAATATAATAAAATTTACTCACTCTCCAGGGGGCAATGTGTGACACTGGAGTCATGAAATGCACTAATTCTTTTGGCATCATAAGATTATTCTTTGCAAGAAGATATTAAATTCTATCATATCTGGGTCTTGAGAAGAAGAGTTTTAAATTTCAGTCAATTTCACACCTTTTTTGTACCACCCCTTTAGCACCTAGGGGTTTGGAGCCATATAATTCACAATATCACTTTACTTTTTGAAAGATAATTTAATAAAAATCAACAAAGGTCATTTGAAACTTAAAAATGCTGAAGGATACCCTAAATTGTTAGTGTAGTAAACTACTACATGGCAAAATCAAAAAAAGAACCTTATATCACTTGTGTGTAATATATATATATTCAACTACACAGGCTAGTCAAAAAATGCATCACAAAAGCAATTCATAAAAGAAGTGTAACACAAAGAAATCAACATTAATTCAATATAATTCTGAAATCAAGTATGTTTAACACTTTGACTGTGATAAAATGTATTAGAATAAAACTGCATCCTCTGAGACATAGTCGGCCAGAAAATCAATACCAAAACTAACAGGAATGCAACATAATGTCACTAGGTGGAACGCCTACTGCCACAACTTATCCACTTAAAAAAGTGGATCCAACCAAACCTTGTCAGCCTGTCAAAATATGAACATTTTTTTTTCTTTTTTTTTTTTAAATCCTTTTTTAACACTCGTCATATCTGCATGCAATAATGATATAACAAGTACATTCTGTTACATAAAGACACAAAGAAAAAAATCACCATCAAAATGATTTTTAGGGCTTGGATTACACAGAATGATATTTATTTGGGGGGACAAACAAATTTACAATGAAGCCTACGGTCAGGAGGGATCACTGATCGGTGCATGGATTACAAAATCAACCCTAACAGTATCACTTACACACAAAGCATGCAATTTCTGATACAGTACAGCTCATTACAAGTTGCTGCATGGTGTGAAATAGATGAATAAATGGATGATAAATCAAAGTCTCAACCGATGACTTTGAGGTTATCTGAGACATTAAGAATTATAACTCTTAATTTGTAATCATGAAATTAATTTTATCTATAATTTGTTCATTAAGAATCTTAATCATTCCTCAAAGTGTGGATTATTATCCAATGAAACAGCTTATTCTTTCATTTCCCTATTCTTTCTTTCTTTTTTTTTGCGAACTCAATTTCATTCATTTCAAAGTTTTTTTTTTCGTTTCTAAGTCATCTTATAATTTACAAACCTTGTCATTGATAGCAATAATTCCCTACTTTATGTAATACTTAAAAAAAAGTATTTTAAACATGAAAGTGCAAAAAAAAATTTGAATCAAAAAGAAATTTGAAACTCAAAAGACAAATCAAAATAGAACAATATATGACGGATTCTTCAATATTTTCTAATATGACAAAAATACAGCATATCTACAAAATATCACACTATATGAGGAAATGTAGCCTAATGGCTGTTCCCCTGTGCTGCTGTGGTTATGTGCCTTGCTTCCACAGAGTTTACCTATGTGGCTACGGAACATTTACGGTAATTTGAGCAGTGAAGACCAATAATCAACAAAAGCAACTAAACAGTTGACAGGAAGAGACAATGGATCGATACTGCATGCTCAATAATAGTATGCGTACTCACATTATTATTATAGTGATAAGACTAGTAAACAAAACAGAATCAATTTGCCTTTAAAACACATGTTAAAGTAGGAATGAGGAGACTGGAGCAGGCAACTTCTTTACATCATACAGCACCTGGCTTCATGTTAACGATGCTGGTCAAAAGTGTTCCACACACAGTCCAACACTTTCTTAGTGGTTAGTATTCACAAAGTTTAAAATCATATTCATGCTCATCATCATCATCATCATCATCATCATCATCATCATCAAGAATGTAATTGTATGCAGTTATAGGATATAAAAGACAAAATAATAATTCAAACAAATGCAATAGGTATATTTCTTTTCTTATTAAATATAAGTAAGTTATCAAAAATTAAGTATTCAAGATTTAAATATATCCAACACACAATCCTTTACCCAATGCACCAATTTACTGTATTTCTGCAAAAATCAATCCTCCATCTTACATATTGAGGATACAAGCAAGCAATGCCTACACTGCAGTTAAGCTTAGATGAAAATAAATGTGAGGTTCTCAGGTTAAATTGGCCAATAATGAAAGTCATTGAAATGTATCATTAAAAAAGTCAAAGAACGTGTATGAAACTGACAGCGAAGCAGACACAGAGATAGACTGATGACAGAAACCTGCAATAAAGTGTTCAATAGAGAAAGATTGGAAGATTTGGTCAAGATTACAGAATTGCTAATGAATGGAAGCCAGAAGACTATTGTGGTTCAATGCTGGAGAGATATGTTTCAATATAGGAGGAGAATGAGAGAAAAACTATAAGACAACTGTGTTAAGGTGTTGGAGAAAAGCCTACAGGACTACCAGTAATTGGTGCATTAACATGAGAACAAAGCTCAATGTATCGCCTGGAAGACAAATGCACTGCATCCTTCTGTCAGTACTCTATAGATCACCAGTCTCTATACATTAGTAAGCACTACAACACGCACATTTCAACAAATCAAACCTCTATATATTAGGACAGGGCAATCAGGTCAGTTGGGATTGGTCTCAAAATCTCTCGTTAGTATGATACATACACCGATCATGAAGTGACACATTGGCAAATCAATAACATAATTGTCTCCCTTGAGTACATCATATTTTGGAGGAAAATACAATAATTTGTAGAATGTTGAATACAGGGCATGAAAAGAGATTGCAAGATGCTTTGAAATTTGTTCAAGGCCATCACGATAACTTTGCAAATAAATTTTAATGGTGACTTTTAAAGATCATTCCAACAAGGCCTGCTTCGTGATTGAGATAACAAGGCTTAGTGCACAAATGATGTAGAAGCTGAAAAAGAATAGAGATACATTAGCAGAGCCGAAGCCTCAGGGCAAAAAACCAGAGTCAACCATCATACAGGAGACAACATGACACATTTGAAAAATTCTGATTAAAGCAATTAGAGGAAACAAAGAATGTGTTAGTGAATAAAGGAAGTCCATGAATGTTCACTTACCCAATGACAACGATGATAAAATCTAGAATATTCCATCCATTACGTAGATAAGCACCAGCATGGAGGGCAAAACCATACGCAATTATCTTCATGACTGCCTCTAGTGTGAAGATCACCAGAAAGATGTACTCCACATTTTCCTGAAGAGATACAAAAGTTTGATAAAAATCAGTGAAGATTACAAGCATAAAAGTAAGAGCTCATTCTGTAAAATTAATTATCTACATAACTGACTGCATCATTTTTACCTGTTCCAACAACACAAGAGAGTTTGAACATAGGTAATGAAAACCCAATCATTACATCAGATCCAATATTTGTCACATAAAGTGAGATGTGTTGGATGCTCTTCAGTATGCTGTGTGGTTTTTGTTGTGTTGAATGCTCTTCAGTATGTCATGTGGTTTTTGTTGTGTTGGACACCTTCAGTACGTCATGTGGTTTTTGTTGTGTTGGACACACTTCAGTATGTCATGTGGTTTTTGTTGTGTTGGACACCTTCAGTATGTCATGTGGTTTTTGTTGTGTTGGACACCTTCAGTATGTCATGTGGTTTTTGTTGTGTTGGACACCCTTCAGTATGTCATGTGGTTTTTGTTGTGTTGGACACCTTCAGTATGTTATGTGGTTTTTGTTGTGTTGGTTACTCTTCAGTATGTCATGTGGTTTTTGTTGTGTTGGACACCCTTCAGTATGCGAAGTGGTTTTTGTTGTGTTGGACACCTTCAGTATGTCATGTGGTTTTTGTTGTGTTGGACACTTTCAGTATGTCATGTGGTTTTTGTTGTGTTGGACACCCTTCAGTATGTCATGTGGTTTTTGTTGTGTTGGACACCTTCAGTATGTCATGTGGTTTTTGTTGTGTTGGACACTTTCAGTATGTCATGTGGTTTTTGTTGTGTTGGACACCTTCAGTATGTCATGTGGTTTTTGTTGTGTTGGACACCTTCAGTATGTCATGTGGTTTTTGTTGTGTTGGACACCTTCAGTATGTCATGTGGTTTTTGTTGTGTTGGACACCTTCAGTATGTTATGTGGTTTTTGTTGTGTTGGTTACTCTTCAGTATGCAATGTGCTTTTGATGTTAATATGTTTTTCACTTTTAGAACTTCTTAGAGTAAAGTTCACTTGAACCTAATATTTGATGTGTAGTTTAACACAATGGCTTTTTGATATATAAGATTGTATAAAGAACCTGCTTCAATAGGTTTCTTGATTAATTGTCAAGTCTTCTGATAAACGCATGTATTCAGTGTTTCAAGTTACCAGCCTGTCAAAATTGTTCTCACATTTTTTTAATCAAGAAAGAATTTGTCTGATAATAAAGGAAAATTCAAGAGCTAGGAGGTAGTTTTAAACTCATTTCTCTGTTGATAGGCTAAAACTGCAAGGAACGTGTAAAAGTTCAGAAAAAGGCATGGAATATTTATGGGTAAGAAAGTTATAAGCAAGAGACTTCTTGTGTAGATTTGGATGTCTGACATGCTAATGAAATTTCATTCAGTTGGGACACTTAACATAAGTTGTAAGAATTTAATTTTACGTTTGGGAGAGATGTTTTGATGGGAAAGAATTCCTAATAATTTTTTACCTGACAGTCTTGCTAATATATGTACAACTGTGGAAGAGTGTGGTTAAGTGAGCGCACATAGACAGTATGCATTTAAAAACTTTCATTATCGATGCACTATCCTACAAACTTTGAAATGTTTGTTGAATCTAACAAGCTAAAATGCTCACCAAATTGAAAATGTAATATTTTCCAGTTAGTTCTTGAAACAAAACTTTCTAAAATGAGAACAAGGAGTTCTTTATGGTCTTCATCCAGAAGTGCACTCTTAAAGTTGTATTGTATATTTCAGAATGATTGCATGCTGATCAAACAGTCTGACTGCAGCTTTTATTAGAAAAGGTATAAAGATCACTATCTACTGAAGTAATCATGTAAATGTTTGGAGGTTTGTGTTGTTAGCACCATTCTCTTAATTTGATATTTTCAATGAAATTCATTTGCTCTCTTTTTCATGCATACTATAAACAATTAGTGTGTAATGTGTAATTATGTCCTGATACCTCAAAAGTACAAACTTATTTTCCAAGTCCTGTAAAATCATTGTACACTGAAAAATATTTATGTCAAACCCGACTTAACGACCATTTCTGAACTTGTGATGAACCCTGAAAACCAGAAACAGTCCAATTTGTAGTACAATATTGCTTGTAAATTAATGGTTAGAATGTCTTGTATAGGCTACAAATACCTTGAAATTCAATCACACGACTGACAGAGCCTTTAATCAGACAACTCAGGTAAGGCATTAACAATTCTAGTGTTTCTAAATATATTATCTGTAGAACCTTATTAACAAGGTTTTTATTGTTCCATATTACCAAAGTCCTGAAAGTTCTGTACATGACCTATGACCCACTTGAACGGTGACCATGAATGCCCTACTTCCTCGTGTAAAATTGGAGTCTGACTAGCAGACAGAAATAAATGTACAAGATGTCCTGTCCATAAATATGACATCACAACCCTCATGCACCAGGCCAACTCTATTGTGATTATGTTGTACCATTGATCAAGCAGCCGGGAATAGCTACACAGGAACGCTAGTGACGTCAGCATACTTTTCTAGGCAGAGCAATTAGTGTTTCAAGTCAATAGGAAAGTAAGGTATAAAGGAAGTGTGGCTGTGCCACGCATGGCCATGGTTTTCTTACACTCTGCTATACCATAATATTCACATTTTACTCTATTACAAAGATAAAACATCTAACTGAAGGAGATTCTTCGATATCTATCTATAATCAGAGAGACTGAGCATATTGGAGGTAATATTTAAAGTTTTACTTCTATATTGTTAATTCTACACGTAAATGAAGTTCTTTGGTTAAACTACAAGAATTAACATCTTTATCCATAACTAGATGTCACTACTCAAAATATAACAAAAATCATCATCGAAACACATTTTAAACAGAAGCAATTCCATTCATAAAACTTTTCATTAAAAATGCAAAACAGGTGGTTTGTTTTTTACCACTAGTCAGAATAATATGAATAAGTATTGCATGATGCAAACTTAAGCAACCACTTCTGACAATATTTACCTGAAGTGTAAAAAAACTGAAAAAATAACTACGGATGCTGGCTGTCTGGGAGCCATCCAACTCAATGTCATTTCTCACAAACAACTCCATGATTCGGCAATAAAGTCTACAGCAATGAAAAGTCCTCAGACCTAATCAGATATTAAGACCTTTGGGATCTGCCATCCTTACACTTTACTTATTGTAAGCTAAGCTTCATACCTAGAAATTGACCAAGAGTATATTTACATGGGCTTCTCTTTGCTGAGAGGGTATTAGGGGAGGTTGGTGTCTCTTTTGCTAAACAGCAGGAGTTTTTTATGTTCCAGGTTCTGTCAGAATTTGTACATAAAAATGCATCCAGCTGTCCTGTCCCAGACATGTTGTGTAATTAAACCGTACACCAACTCTGTTACAGCTCCTGGCAGGAGATGATCTGAGATCCTAACGAGTGCATTCATCTATACCACAAGACTACGTACATTCAATTATTTCAGCCCTTCAATTTTTATCATTTCAGACCTTTTTGTTTCGGACATCGCTTCAAGACAGGCAACCCCTGCTCTATGTACATCTAAGTCAGTAAGATGTTTTTCGTACTAGACAATGTCTTAAGACGATTTAATTCAATTGTACCCTTTCCGACATTTTTATTCTTGATCATCTCAAGTGAGTGATCCTTGATCTGCATGTGTAGGTTAAGCAAGCAAGACTTGATCATTTTAAACACTGTGTTAGATAAGCAGACACTGTTTGGTCAAAAATCAAGCAAAGTAAACCTTTGCTAAGAATGTTGTAGAACAGAATAAAAAAAGTCACATCACAAGTGACAATCTCCAGCTTATCATCATTCAACCTTATTTTAGTATGATCAGTCTCACACTTATCTCACATAAAATCGGTTTCCGTACAACAAATACATAATGTGTGACTGATAAAGCCAAATGACATTAATTCATCCTGTACACATTAATCATTAATGGTTTGAGGGAAACAATTCCATACCGAGAAACATACTATCAAAACTACAAGTCAGGTAAACAGATTTTATTCCCATCTTTAGTGATTCATTTCTACTTATTTTTTAGCTGGCTTTAATCACTTTAATTTTCTATCGAATTTTTATAATTATATACATTGAGTTTATTACTGCATGTTATCTCAAGGACTGTTCGGAAACTTCCATTTCAAATGGCAGTAATTGGTGAATCGGTTTAGACTTTTGTTCCAGACCTTGTTTCCTGTTGGTAAAAATTTTGTACAAGACAAGGTCGAGGTAAACTGTACATCTCATTCCCAGACAGTTTATTACTCAACATCCACACTACATATGCCAGACATTTGACTGTTCTCTAATAGGGATTATTCTGTCTATGTTGCTATATTTCTTGTGAGCTCTGACTTTTAAGAGAAAAAAGATAAATCCGAAAACTTTCAATTAATGTTAAAACTGGACCAAAGTTATCGTATAATTGAGAATATTCTAACTGATATCGGAAATAACATAAAATTAAACATTAATCAGTTATTGAAGGGCCAAATCAAATTAGGTAGTGCATTTTCTGATATATATATATATATGAAGCATGGTTGTACACTTGTAGTAATGCTTATAATACTCACATATGCCTGTAGTGAATATTCAGAGTTGTAAAGTTAAATGACTTAGTTAGAATTCATACATTACCATCAATATCAAAATGACATTTATCTCATTATGACTTCTGCTATTTACTGGTTCATTAAGCAGATCACCCATGGTACTATTACAATACCAGGGAATTGCTTGTCACAGTAAAACAAGGCAGAAATCAATATATCCCAGCTGTTAACTTGTTCATAAAATTACATAGTGTTTGGTCGGACAAAAACGGAAGACGTCGGTACAACAAAAAAAAAAAAAAGGAAAATAATATGGGACTGGAGGACAGTGGGAAGGAAGGAGGGTGAGTTGAGTCGGTACAAACATATTTTTGACAGATCATTTATTAATGACAATTATGGCCTATAACTACTGGCAATCAGATAAATCAAACAAGGGATGTAT